GTGCTGCTCAGGTGGAAGGACAACAACCTCGTCACAATGACTTCCACACAAATATGCATGGGGCAGATCGAGATCGTGAAAAGATGGAGCGCCACAAAAAAAAAAAAAAAGAATACACGGATGTAGAGTGCCCCCAGGTAATGGTTGAGTGCAACTGGCACATGGGGGGTGTGGACAAGCTTGACTTTGTCATGTCGCTCTACCCTATTCGGGGAAAAACAAAGAAATGGCCCGTTAGAGCCACCTCTCATCTGACATCATTTGTGCTAGCGAACTCATGACTACAGTACTTACGGGATGCAAGTGCTGAAGAGCTTCAGCGCAAGGATACAGATATGCTGGAATTTCAGACAGATGTTGCTCTCAGTCTAATTCATTCAAACCGGCCAGTTGAAAAGAAAAAAGGAAGACCGAGTTTGGAATCTCTGCAGAAGGTACTGAAACCGGTGCATAACGTGGCGCCTCTTCCAACAATGTCCATGCGCTTTGGTGGGAAGTAACACTGGCCTCAGCGTGTTGTGTGCGCAAATTCCCAGCGGTGTCGCAAACAAGACTGCACATCCAAGACGCGCGTGTGCTGCAGGAAGAGTGGAGTGTTTCTGTGCCTCTACAAGTGACTGCTCCTTCAACTTTCACCAAAAGTAGATTATGGCTGTCATGTGCTTTTTACACACCTTGCTTTAACACTGCACTAAAATGTGCCACCTTTCAAAGAAATAAAAAAATGCTCACATTACGGCTTTGGGTTCAATCACAGCGTCCACAATTGAGGACGTAACCCAAATTTTCAATTTTTGATAATATGGTAGATCCGAGGTTTGATTACTGTTTTTATCACCCCAAAGCTGCTTCCTGCCAATTTTGAGATTTTTCCGCCTACTAAAACATAATGCGTGTCTCACATAATTATGAGAGATACCGTAGTGGAGGGCTCCGGCAATTTCGACCTCCTTGTTGAAGTTCTTTAACGTGCACCCAAATCTGAGCACACGAGCCTACAGCATTTTCGCCTCCATCGGAAATGCAGCCGCCGCAGCCGAGATGCGATACCGCGACCTGCGGGTCCGCAGCCGTGTACCTTAGCCACTAGACGACCACCGTGGGGCTATTGTATAAGCTCGAATAGTGAAGTAGAGGTTTTGGCTGAAGCACGTCTGGCCGGGAAGTAACTTCACAGAATTAAGAGAACACCGACCATAATAAGGAAATAAATGGGAGACGTTTCGGCTCCCCTGAAGGCAGCTATGAACAGCTAAGATACCCGTCAAGAGAGCCAAAACGTCATTTTTCTCAATGGTCGGTGCCCTTTACATTCTATGACGTTCGAACAGTGAGTGCTCGATTGTATTAAATGAATATAAGGATCAACTACGTAAGACCGAAATCGACTTACGTACGGCAGTTCAAATATCTATGTACCAAGACCGTAGCCGCAAAGGGGGGGGGGGAGGGGGCGCTTGTGGTTCGCTTTTCTTCCATAAAACTTTGATGGAGGGGACGTCTTATAGAAAAAAAATGATGAAACTAGGCGTTCTTCAGATGTAGTCAAGGCCTTCAGCAAGCGCCCCCCTCCTTTCCCCACCAGAGAAAACATACCTGACCAGTGGCCTGTCACATACGCTATTGACTTTATACACAATTATGTATGCGCTAACAGAGCTAGTGACGTGTCCACCGATGTGACTCAGTGCATGGTTTCGCTCCTCGGTCCCGAAAGATGCGTGTTTGAGTTCGGTCGTGGCAGTAGAATTTCAATAGAGGAAGAATTCTAGAGGCTCGTGTACTGTTCGATGTGCCAGAAGGAGTCATGAGCCGCACCTCGGGCTCGGTGAGAAAAGACATATACTGCGGAAAGCAGACACTGCTATCAACGACTCAGTCACGTCGAGCAGTCGTGCCCGGCAAGGCGAGTTTGGGAGTCATGCGCGAAATTACCGTTTTTTCTTTTTCAAGCGCGCATCCGTTCTCGCTCTCTTCGGCTGGAGCGCGGGGCATGTTGTGTAACTTCGAACGACAGATAGCATGACACTGGCCAACAGATGACACAAATCGAGTGCGTCGTCTGGATGGGATGCGAGTTTTGCCGCAACGTGCCCGGCGCCGCGCTCCGTATAGTGTAACATTACACCGTGAGCCGCACTAGCGCACAAGAATTACAACAAGAGAGTGAGAGGTAGCGCTTCATTGCGCACGCTGGCCTGAAGGCCTGACCACATGCAACCGTTGCAGCGCGTCAGCGCTTGGAGTCGTGACGCGCCCTTTTCAGGAAGAGAGTGGGCCCACAGCCTAGCGCAGCCTTGCGCCCTCCTTCTTTATAAGGAGAGGGTGCGGCGCCTCAGAAGGCCTCACACTGACGCGCTGCGACGGGCGCGTGTGGTCAGGCCTTCTTCCCCCTTGTCAAACCTCCCCGTGTAGCGCGCTTTTAGCACGCTCTTCGACCCAAGAGAAGATCGAAAGGGCTTTGAGCACGCAACGGATCACAGAGGACCGAATAACAAGCCTCGTTCTTTGTGTATTCGGGATACCTTTGCGGCTATCGATTCGTAGGGCTATAAACTACGATGCTGAGGTCATTCGATGCTATTTTATTCAAGTGGTTAAGGACCCCTATAAAGCACGCTGAAAAGAAACAATGACTTGGTTTATATTCACAAAGTTACACTCTGAGAACCCTAATGCCTTATGTCTTACTATTGTCAGTTCAGTATTAGCGGGAAAAATCAAGGTTGAACTTATCATTTTTAAGCTTCGCGCCAAATTTCCCGTACATGACGGCAAAATTAAAAACAAAAAGAATCGTGGCATTGGCTAGGTATAATTTTTTGAAACGTCGTATGCTACGTCAATGGCGCCCGCGGATGACATTGTACTTCATTTTTATTGATTAAAAGCTACGTAGAGACCAATAGACGCCTTCAATATCTTCGTCATCACGGTGTTTGGTGCGGGAATTTCAAGATTGGAGTCTCCACCCATTTTTTCTCTTCGCGTGTTTTCTCGCTTACCCAGCGGTGGTTGTGGTAAGAGCGGTGTTTTTCGGATTGTAATAGTGTATTTTAATAATATTTATAATTGTTTTGCTCCCGAGTGTCCTTTAAAAACACTGGTGGTCGAAAATATATGCGAGCCCTCCCATTAAGTGCGAGTCGCTCATAACCCTAGTTGCTTTGTGATGTTAGGATAAACCAACTAATGTCTTTTTATGCAACTGATAATATGCCGATGGGATGGAGATTTGTACTCGTGTAGACCTTTCTGCATAGTTCATGCGATTCCCGGAGCTGGGTGACATCGTGGAGGGTCCAGGAAGTGAATCATGATATGTGGTGCCACTGCACCCACCAATAAGAGAATTTTATATTTCATATTGCATTAGTAAAATAAGCAAACTATGAAAATGACGTCATATATATTTCGCCATAGGGCTCAGAGCCACACGAGTAAGGCAGAAGCGTAAAACAGGAAATTTTCGCTGGCTCTTCAGCGTGTGGAGCAAGCACCCGCAAACCTGAGACCACTTAAGACCACGTGACTTGAAAATGGCTGGCGATGGAGCAGTGCTACAGTGTACAAAGAATTCACCATGTCCTGCTGTCTTTTTCTTTTTTATATCCACCTTGCTTGTGGTTCGATATACCTTCGTCCGAAAACTCGGCTGATACAGCTCTCTATTATGTTATCAGTGCTACCTTCGAAATAATACGTGCTCAGCGTCAGACAGGACTCATTGGAGCACGACCTTGAGAACCTATCGAGGATAACGAATTCTCATCGCTTAATGTGTACAGGCTTTGTTGTTCAATTGCAATGGGCTGCGCAGCCTAGTCAAACTTTCCAAAAGTCCTCCACTCTTTAGCCTAGTCAAACTTTCCAAAAGTCCTCCACCCTTTCAAGAAATAAATAAGTGACGGAATATAATCAATGTCCATCAGTGCTAAGGCATTTGAATAAACTGTTTTGACGAACTGGGCCAAGAACTGTTGATGCGTGCTAGTTACAAGAGGTACAGAAAAAGCATCACTTTGCAATGGCACATCAATATTTAAAAAGCTATTTCCATTACTTCGGCGTGAATGTACATCAGTCGAGGCAACAAAGGAACCGAACACCATTTTCAAACATTCGGTGCCAGATTTCAAGCATTAGTGGATGGAGCATAACATTGTGTATAATATAGCTTGAGAAGATATATAGCTGCAATAATTTACAGAGTTGGATCTTCCCTGCAGAGTGCATATTGAATTAAACCCCTATTGTTCAGGCAAATATCTGATTATAAAGGCATGGTAGTTGCCACAGTGATTATATCTATACAACCATCGGCAATGTGAAGAACCATTATATCTCAGAAGACAGGTACAAGAATATTGGGAGAGTGTAAAAACTTGCATCCTGTTTTCAATTGACCCTTTACTTCTGAGCCAGTGCAGCCTCACTTGATAATCAGGGCAGGAGACAACATCTTACAAGAGCGCAAATGCAATGCAAGTTTTCGTTTTTCTAGCGTACATTTTTTTTATGCGATGGGTAAGCTATGCTTACAATTTACATATCGGGACATACCAAAAACATGACCATTACTTTGTTGTAGAAGACTGCTGATGAGACTATGCTCAAATTCTTAAAGTTTGCTGCCTGTGACATTGCAGATTTGGAAAGCAACTGCCTGAGGCTAGTTACAATACTAACTCATCCATAAATGCATCTAATTTTAATCGTACTACAGAAAGCGCCAAATGCAATAAGATAAATTGAGGAGATAGAATCTTAAACTCGGTCTCAGTACAGTAAACCTCACAATCAAGTCGCACCCAATGTTACATATCCGAAAATTTGTTTTCAGTAAATATTTGTTGCATTGTACATGAGAAAGTACACTTATTCACTTTGTTATAACGGGAAATCCATTATATCCGTGAAGCTCGTCTTAATGTTTGAGTGTACACTCAACATTTGAGTGGACTCTCACCATCTACGAACAAGATAATAGGAGGCAAAAGTGTGGCTTCACAATAATAGGGTTTTTACTGACACGCTTGAGACTCCGTACACAATGTTGGTGTCACTGTCCGGCACGGTATACACATTGTTGTGAGAAAATGCAGGGCCATGGAAACGCAATGAGAGAGGGAGTGTGTGTGACAGAGATTTGGGAAGTGCCCCAGCTACCCATGTTTTACATGGGGCCTGGGCGGAGGGGGTCGGGGCAGAGACATCGAAAAAGAGCGAGAGACAGCGCGTCCAATAAGTATACATATCTACAAAAAGAAAAGCGCCATGACCGCGTGAACATCCAGAGAATGTTCTGCAGGCAAAAAGTCAAAAGCTATTAGCTTCATCAAGAACTGAAAGTGGGTAGGATGCAAAGCGGGCAGTACCGCGAAACTTAACATTGCTATGGCAGTGGTGACACATCTGTGCTGCGTACCACCACCAGCATGGGAGGGGTTCTTGGAGGCAAACACAATGTGGACAGACCGTGCGACTAAGATTCGACTTCACGTTCCCGAGGACTCGGACGAGTTTAGTGATGTCCGCAGCATCGGTGTCAATGTTGTGCTACTCATCGGAACCGCGAAGATGAATCGAACACGGCCGTGCATGATCCAGGAAGACAAGGTTTGTTGTGTGTTAAACTGCCCTTGGTATGCCTGAAATCAGACTGCGCAAAATCGACCTAGCTTCTTCCCATTCGACCTGGTGAATGCAGTTTTTTTTCCTGGTCAGTGAACTACGCAGTGTGCGAATGAAAGGTACAAAGTTGCGTATAGCCTGGCTTATTTTCTTTTGTTAGGCGCAAGAAATTTTAGGCTTTGCTAGCACTTGAAAAGAAGCTGAAAAATTGCGTTTTTCTTCTGAAGTGTGATGGGAATGGGAAGGGGCAGATCGCTGTCGCTGCTTTTGCAGCCGTGCACTTGCTCTGCGAGCCTCGACAACGGAGAGTGCATAAAAATTACGTATGTACACAATGCAAGAGCCTCATCGGCATGCGTTATACACCGTGCAGATTTCTGTTCTAATATGACTTTCCAGATTCAACACTGAAGGGGCAAGACAGATGAAACACGGGCGTCTTGAAACCCCTAGCTTCGGACATGCTGTACATAACAATCCCATGTGTCTACGAGCAAACTTGCACCACACTATAACAATCCCACCAAGACTGCTGCCGTCATTGAAGCCCGGAGCTTATTAAGCACACTTTTTTTTTCTCTCCAACGAAGCATGTAGCCTATAGCGAGGGCATGTCTTTGCAGTGGTGGAATCCACCACGCTACGTATTATAAGGTTCTGCCACGTGCGTTTGTGCTGTTCACGATGCGGAGGGTGGAACAAAATTTGCTAGCTTAAGCATGGTCAGTCGCTAGACACGCCTCTTATTTTTTTTTTTTTCAATCCTATTCGACCGTGCACCTGCTTCACAATGTGGTCATCTGCAAACACGGTAGCAGAAGAAAGAAAGGCATTCCATGCAAATTTTAGATGCTGGTGAACATGTATTGCTATGTTTTACGACACCCACATAAAAGAAGAAAGACTGATGTCAACGAGTTTGCGAACTAGAAAAGGCCCTGTAATATGTTTCACAACTCAGCTTCATCCATAACACAAGCACGTATATGTACAACAGAGGGCTTGACCTTTCACGTGCACAATTTGGTCACGGAACCTGCGGTGCCAATGAACAAACGTGCTAGGTTTCCTGTCAACAATTGATTCCTTTTTTAGAGAACATGTTCGTACAACAATCATGTTTCAAATCTCTGACAAGATACTGCGCAGGCAACGTAAAAGTCGGTCACATAAATTATAAAGTATGTTACAAAAGATTCCTATGTACACTCGAGACAAGAAAGAAATGTATTCACTGAGGCAATGACAAGGAGTCACCAACAGATATCACTACAGCCAACATTGGAAAGAAAATATTATACGCAAAAGCGTCGGCCAACCGTTGGATGTGCAAGGGGACTTGCCGCTGGGACCTGGCGGATATGTCGCGCATTTGCATCGCGCGCGTTCCCCACATTTATTCTAAGATTCCGTTAAGTAAAAGAAAACGTTCCATTTGTGTCATTTATAGTGTGACTGCAAACACGAGAGTGCCGAGCAGTCCTAATGTGAAAAAAAAAAGACAAAAGAAACCTACATGTTTACAATTCTTTCGAACGAGTCTCACTGCTTGCTTTAAGCACAGCACTACTCGAGATATGAGTTAGAAAGTGAGACCCGAGAAAAAACAAAAAGAAAGGCAGCACCAAATGCATGCAAGCAGCAATGACACCACATCATCTATGAAGACTATACACAATTTCAGAGACGCGGGCCTCGTCTGCAACAAACGCGCAAGAACACTCAAAGATGCGCGGAGGACAGCAACAACTGTGGCTAAGCCAACGGAAAGTAAATAAAAAAAGCGACGAAACGGTGCCACATAGACAAACCAGAGAGGGTAGAGGTTGCTGTGGGAATGCTTTAGCAGCTCCTAGCACAGTGCGCTTGTTTGAGTGAGATTTTTCTTTCTCGCAGAGTCCATCAACGATGCGATGGTTGTGCGTGCGTGTTTTCTCCCGCGGGGTTTCCGCCGCGCCTTTAATTCTCTGGTCTTGTCAGCTCGGCGAGGCACCCGAACGAAGGGCAGCAGAGCGAAAGAGGGCTCACTATGCGGGAGACACGAAGAACCATTTCCGACAGTTTTTTTTTTTTTCACAAGCTGCCTGCTGTCGTCGTCCTTTTCTACGTAGAATGCGATTGACCCTGTTTGGCTCCATTTTGTGTTTGTCGGCAAAACGAAGAAGAACAAGAAGATGATGGTCACGTCTGGAGGCGCTGCGCTATGCGTGCATGCCTCCTGGTGCAAAGGGAGATGTGGGAGAGAGAGGCCAGCACCCTCATGACCGAATCCAGCCGCTTGGTTGCTGTCTGCAACGAGAAATTATTCAAGGCCGCTGTTAGGAAAGTGCCGAGAGATGGGAGCATACACTCAAACCACGATATAACGAATTATCAGTTACAATCAAGTGAAGAATCGCTGTGTTTGTTTTAGATAACGTGTTACAAATAATAATTTACAATGAAATTTTGGGTATAACAAGTATTTTCGTGGCTGATGCGTTTTTGCTATTATGATGTTTGAGTGTACGCGAAAGCAAGACAGTTGAACCCGAATACATAAACCCAGACACATGGAGTTACTGCCTACACAGAACTATCGTAACACTCAGTTGGAAACTATATGCAAGGACAGTAATGTTGGAATGTAGGTGTGCAAGAAAATGCGACAAAAAAGCTGATCTCCATTTGACATACTGGGCATTGGCTGCACAATTATGACAGCCTTTCAGCTATGGGGGACTTAGCGAATAACTTCAACTGCAATCATCATCGGCAGCATCAATGATGATATATGCTGTTTTTTGGCGCAAGGGCCATTTGATGGCCAAAGAGCGCCAGTTCATGAGACAGGAATGTAGACAATGATTGTGATTAGCGGCTGTATAAGGGCCATAAAATTCCTCGCAGTAAAGCGGGTAAAAACATACAATTAATAAAATCATGACCATGCCGTGAAAGGTGTGTGTGGTGCGAATAGATGGCAAAAGTTAATGATAATAAAAACGATGGTGGACATGTATGGCATTAGCACAAGTGCCTCACTCGTTCATACCCTTGCGTCCAAGGGCCGTGAGGCAAGTGCTTTATTGTGTAGCCACCGCAGCGAAAACCTCTCTGGAGAGGTCGTGCTACGGTATGCCCGGGTATATGACATGAAAGGTATGAATTTCTGTTAAAAACGCTAACAATGATTTGTGACTAAAAAGCGGTTCCCTACCGACGAACATTGCAGGGTGTAAAGGTATATGTTGTCGGTAGGGTAATGGAAAGTGTTGTCTTCTTAGAGTGTCTAACTGTTTACATTGAATTAAAACGTGTAGAACTGTTAATGCCTCACCACATTTATCACACAATGGTGGATCACCACCGGATAAAAGATGTGTGTGTGTCATGTATGTGTGTCCTATCCTGAGTCTTGTTAGTATTACCTCTGTTAGACGTGCTTTTGATACTGGTGGCCAATGGCCAAGGTGTGGCTTGATAACGTGTAGTTTGTTTTGTGTGTGCGTATCCCACTTGCTCTGCCAGTAGTCCCTGAGTTTTCGTTTGAGAGATGGCTTAAGATCAAGGGCCGGGATTGATGTGGGTGTAATGGCGGTGCTTTCGTGGGCGGATGCAGCAAGCTGATCCGCCATCATGTTGCCTTGAATCTCACGGTGCCCTGGCACCCAGCACACTACAACATGTCGGTTGAGTGTGTAGGGTGTGCATAAAATGGAGCAAAGTGAAACGAGGACAGGGTTTTTTTGTTTTTTCAGACTGTGCAAAGCCGTTACCACACTGAGAGAGTCTGTATAAATTACTGCTTTTTGTATTTGTGATTGTTTGATGTGTTTAGCTGCCACAAGTATCGCGTAAGCTTCCGCTGTGAAGATACTTGTGCCTGGATGTAGAGGGCCAGCATCCGAAAAGGAAGGGCCAACAGCAGCGTAGGACACAGAGGAGATAAACTTAGAGGCATCTGTAAAAAACTCAGGACGTGTGTATTTGTGTTGAAGTTCCAAGAAGTATGTTCGAATATGGGCAATAGGCGCATGTTTAGTAACTTCTAGGAAAGACACATCGCAATCTATAGTCTGCCACTGCCACGGTGGCGGGTATGCTACAGGAGCCATTAAACTGTGTTCGAGTGACACACCAGTGTCCTCAGCTAGACCCTTCAGGCGAACTGAGAAGGGCTGCCTCATTGAAGGCCTGTTTTGAAAAAGAATGGAGCTCGACAAGTCATTAATAGTAGGGTATGAGGGGTGCCTCTTGTCTGCTTTCACCTTAAGGAAATATACAAACGACATGTAGGTTCTTTGCAGATGAAGCGACCACTCATTTGACTCAACGTAAAGGCTTTCTACGGGGCTGGTGCGAAAAGCACCCGTAGAAAGGCGGATGCCCGAATGGTGCACGGGATCCAGCATCTTCAAAGCACTTTGAGTCGCAGAATGATAAACAATGGCCCCATAATCTAAGCGGGTGCGAATAAGGCTTCTATACAGGTTCATGAGGCATTTCCTGTCACTACCCCACGTAGTACGTGACAACACTTTTATAACATTCATGGCTTTTAATTTAACATTTTGTTTTTAAATACTTTATGTGGGGTACGAAGGTCAACTTGTTGTCCAAGATTAAGCCTAAGAATTTATGCTTGGCTTTGACGGACAGACGTTGCCCGTTCAGTCGAATGTCAGGTTCCGAGTGCATGCCTCTCTTTCGAGAGAACAAGACACACGTGCTTTTTTGTGGGTTAAGTCGAAATCCGTTTTCATCTGCCCAGTTGGAGACCTTATTTAAACCCAGCTGAACCTGCCGCTCACACATGGCCAAGTTGCATGACTTGAAGCCAAGCTGAACGTCGTCGACATATCTACAATAGAACATATTGCGGGGAATGGACAAGTGCAAAGAGTTCATTTTGATAATAAAAAGTGTGCAACTAAGCACACCACCTTGTGGCACGCCTGTTTCCTGGACAAATGTTTGGGAGAGCACACTGCCCAGACGGACACGGAATGTCCGGTTTGACAGGTAACTTTCGATTATATGAAACATTCTTCCGCGCACACCAAGGTGGGACAGGTCTCTTAGAATTCCGAAACGCCATGTTGTATCATAAGCCTTTTCGATATCGAGGAACACAGAGAGAAAATATTGTTTATGGACGAAGGTGTCTCTGATCTGTGCCTCGATACGAACAAGGTGGTCTGTGGTGGATCTACTTCCTCGAAACCCGCACTGAAATGGGTCGAGCAAATTATTTGTTTCAAGAAAATGTACAAGTCGGCAGTTTATCATTTTTTCGAAGACTTTGCACAAGCAGCTTGTAAGTGCTATAGGCCTATAACTCGAGGGTAAAGAAGGGTCCTTGCCCTCTTTCAAAATGGGAATAACAATAGCCTCTTTCCAGGAGGTAGTAATAGTGCCAGAAGACCAAATAGCATTGTACAAACAAAGTAAGGTTTTTCGGGTTTCGTTTGGTAGGTTTTTTAACATTTCATACATCACACGGTCAGAACCTGGGGCAGAAGTACTGCAGGAGTTTAGAGATGTTCGGAGCTCAGCTAGACTGAAAGCTTGGTTATATGCCTCGTATCTAGTGGATTTGTGTTCGAGTTTCTGCTTTTCTATTCTTGTTCTGTATTTTTGGAAAGTGTCAGTATAGTGGGACGAGCTGGATACCTGTTCGAAGTGTGCACCGAGGAAGTTTGCCTGATCTTCCAAGGTATCACCCTGAGTGTTTACGAGTGGAAGTGTGTGTACTTGTTTTCCTGCTATCCTACCGACCATGTTTCAGACTTTAGCCTCCTGTGTGTATGAATTAACCCCTAATAAAAACTTCTGCCAGCTTTCTCTTCTGGCCTGCCGACGCGTTCTCCTGCCTTGAGACTTTATTTTTTTGAAGGTTTCAAGATTTTCGGCTGTCGGTGAGTTCCGAAGCAACCTCCAAGCTCCGTTTTGCTGTTTGCGCGCGTTTCGGCATTCAGAGTTCCACCATGGCACACGTTTTCCAGGGTGTCCATTTGTTTGTGGGATGCATTTTGTTGCAGCATCAATCAAAAACTCTGTGAAGTAGTTCACAGCAACATCAATGTTCAAAGTACAGATGTCATTCCAACCTAGAGAAGCGATAGTATAAAATTGTTCCCAGTCGGCTCTGTTTATGAGCCACTTGGGAACACGTGGTGGACACTCAGTTACTGTCGTTGTGCTCAAAACTACTGGGAAGTGGTCACTTCCGTACAGATTACTGACGACTTTCCACTGGAGTAGAGGCACAAGAGATGGAGATACTATGCTCAGGTCTATGGAGGAGTAGGTGTTATTAGCGAGGTTATAATAGGTTGGTTCTTTTCGATTTAGGAGACACGCGCTCGACGAGATAAGGACCTGTTCGATCAGTCGACCTCGCGCGTCATACCGAGAGTCACCCCATAGCCTGCTATGCGCATTAAAGTCTCCAAGGCTCCAGAAGTTCATCAATTAGAGAGTGTAAATCGCGTTTTTGCAGCTGATAGCTAGGAGGAATGTAAATAGTGCAGATTGTGATCAGTTTATCAAAAAGAACCGCTCGAACAGCCACTGCCTCAAGGGATGTTTGGAGTTGTAAGTGTGTGCATGCTATTCCTTGATTCACTATAATGGCAACACCTCTGGATGATGTCATTGCATCAACACAATCTTTTCGGAAAATAACGTATTTACGAAGAAAATTTGTGTGTTTTAAATTAAGGTGTGTTTCTTGTACACACAGCACCTTTGGCGAGTGTTCATGTAAGAGTTCTTGGATGTCGTCAAGGTTTCTGAGAAGGCTCCTGACGTTCCATTGTATAATTTGAGTGTTCATGGTGAATGTAAAATAGTGCTGTGTGTACGAAAAGCGAGTGGCTGTTTAGACAGGAAGTTTGGGTTCACTTTACAGGGCCGTCACCAGGCCCTGTTATTTGCTTTTTTGTTTTCTTGGCGCGTTCCAAGGAGCCACGCCGCTCTTTCGGCACCAAGGGTGTCGACGTATCTATTGCCTCCTCGGAGGCACTGGATGCCCGCACGTGCGGGCTTTTAGTTCGAATTTCGGGCCTAGCCTGGTGAGGGGAGGCCTTTAGACCTGAAGACTCTGCAGTCTCCGGTCTCTGTTTGGGAGTAGGCGGTGAAGCCTGGGCTACAGCCGCCTTGGGGGCAGGTGCCACAACCGCCGCCTCGGTATGCGCAGGCCGAAGGGGTGGCGAGGGCTGGTGCGGCGTTGCCCCCTGACGCGCCGCATCAGCATATGTTGCGCCGTAAAATGGCGACACTCTTCTTCTTGCTTCTTTGAATGTGATGTTTTCTTTGACTTTAAGAGTGATTATTTCTTTTTCTTTCTTCCAGTTAGGACACAAACGCGAATACGCGGCGTGTTCCTCGTCACAATTCACGCAGTGAGGCGCAGTAACACAGTTATTAGATGGGTGGCCGCGGCTACCACATCTTGCACAAGTTTCCTGACCCCGGCAGTTCTGCGAGCCATGACCAAATCGTTGACATTTATAACACCGTCTTGGATTGGGAATGTAGGGACGGACAGAGAGTTTGATGTAGCCTGTGTCTATAGATGAAGGCAGTGTGCTAGATGCGAAAGTGAGTATTAAATGTTTGGTAGGTATTTCTTTGTTATCGCGTCTAATGACGATTCGTTTCACATCTGAGACATTTTGCTCTTTCCACCCTTCAAGCAGTTCCTGTTCAGACATTTCAAGAAGGTCTGCTTCTGAAACAACTCCGCGTGAGGTGTTCATTGATCTATGAGGTGAAACAGATACTGGGATATTACCAAATGCTACGAGAGTGCCAAGTTTTTCATAGTGGTGTTTTTTAGGCAGCTCAAGGAGAAGGTCTCCACTAGCCATCTTTGTAACCTTGTATCCTGGGCCAAAGAGCTCAGTCAGAGATTTAGCAACAAGAAATGGAGATATGGCTCTGGTTTGTTTTGTTGGGTTTTCGCTGTGCACTACATGGAATTTCGGAAAGCATTGTCTGGGTTGGCTGAAAATTGATATTTCATCGGTGCGTCCTCTCTTAGGCGGAAGACGATCTAGGAGACGGGGAAATACAGGTGTTCCCATAGTTGTGTACTTATTTTTCGGCAGCAATGGCGACCACCCACCATGGAGTCCAACCAGGGGACGCTGAAGCACTTAATAGCATAAGGCTGCAGACGCCAGCCGTACATTGCCACTATAACCAAATATAACTACTCAAGGTTGAGTAATTACACAAGGTTAACCCTAGCCGCCAGGAAGTTTGGAAGTAAACGAAAGAGAGTAGAAGACAGGACAGATAAATAGTAAGAGATAAAGACGAAGATGTAGGGAGAGAGAGATAGGAAAAGGCGACTGCCGATTTCCCCTGGGTGGGTCAGCCTAGGGGTGCCGTCTACGTGAAGCCGGGGCCAAAGGGGTGTGTTGCCTCTGCCGGGGGGCCTTAGCGGTCCAATCACCCAGCGTCGGCTCAACCCCCAGGATCCCCTTTTCCTCGGACACGGCAAAGCCACGCACGGCTAGGCGTGGGAGGGAGTAGAAACTCCCCCTATGCGCACTTATGGAGAGCAGCAATGGCAAATCAGTAATCGACATCAAAGGGGCTTTGCACTTTGTCAAAAGTGCTGACAGATCTTTTCCAGTTTACTTCTCATTTACAAATTAAGCAAACACAAAAAGGTGCATCACAAAAGGGACTTGTGTACAGGAACCAAGGCTTTTTACAAAGACATACATCCAGATATTTGGGCATGTATTTGAATCTGCATGACCGCAAATCAGACAGTGATGTTGATGAGAATTAAACAAAATGTTCAATAGTTGAAGATTTCAATAATTTGACAGTGTAGTTGACTCTTGGTAAACAAATTTTCGAAACTGAACTCCCGCTTACACGGCACAACTGTTTCTAAGGTGATTAGTTTTGTACTGTGTCTAAGGTGATTGGTTTCGTACTGCGTCTAGCATCATTGGTTCTGAACCTCTGCTCACCTCTGGGAAAACGGTACGCCCGTGAAACTTTTCAAGTCCTTCAGATTACACTCAAGAAGAGTATAGCAGACAGGTGCAGTAAGAATTTTTATCAGTAACTTAAGAAACTGTGCACAAATGCGTTGCTAGAAGATTTGCCTTTACTGCCCTTACATAACAGCATTTTCGAGTGTGATCCTTTAGAGGTGACAGCCCTTCCCGCTGTAGAGCACCCCAACTTTGTGCAGTGTACAGTGGTGGTGGCTGCTTACAGGGGCAAGGTGAAGTCGTGCAGCGCCTGGCGCACTGATGTAAAGAGAGCGCGGTTGCTGTCGTTTGGCGGCGACGAGCCATTTGGTCCCCCGAGCCCTGGTGGCCGGTGGGTGCTGTCCACGCAGAGCGCCTGCAGTCGGCTCAGGTAGCAGTCGAAGTTGTCCGGCGTGGGCTTCTCCTCCAGTTGGGGGATGCGGTCTAGCAGCGAGATGAAGTTGTGCTTCAGCGAGTCGTAGTACTCGTTCAAGCTGCCGGCCCGCTGAGACAGCACTTGGTTGTCCTGCACCGTCAAGAGTAACACATCGTGTCAACACACATGCTGGGGAAAGGGCAGCAGACGGTGGCTGATGCCCTGCCTTGTTGGGTGTCCAATCAAAACAGAATTGTATGTGAAAAGGGAGAAATGAGCCTTGTGGGTTCGCATAAGCTAGTTCCTCCCTTTTTATTTAGCTGTCTTAAATCGATAGTACCCAACTAGAAGACAAGCACAGCATGTCAGCTGTCGGAAATGACGATTCATTATGCTGATCCTCTTTCTTCTACAAGTCTTGTTGATTATATTTATTTTTGTGCCTTGTATACTTTTATTCTGTTTTACTTTTATATTGTACTTGACTATGCATTGCTTTGTATACTGTATTTCACATTTTGCTGGTTATTTTATTGCATTAGCCAGCCTCACTACTACAGTAGCGGCTCTCAATAGTAGGTTAAAAACCGTAGAGGCTAGGACAGCTGCGGCTGCGGACCTGGTTCCTCGATTGAACGAGCTCGAAAGCACTGTGAGGGACCTAAAAAACACGGTTGAAATTCTTGACCAGCGTAACGACGACTTGGAAAACCGCCTTCGCAGGAACAACCTGATCATTTACTGATTGACGGAAACGGAGAAAGAGACTCCGGATCAGCTACTGGAAACTGTGCACGAACTCATAAATGTCAAACTAGGCGTCAAGTGTGAAAACATTGAGCGGTGGCACAGGCTAGGAACGCCAAGAAAGAATAGTAGTCCACGACCTGTTATTATTAAGCTCATTGATTTTCGTACCAAGACACAAATTTTAGGCAACGCAAGAAAACTTAAAGGATCAAAAATATACATAAATGAAGACTTCTCGGCACGTGTTCGACAAATACGCAAATCTTTGTGGCAGCACTCGGTTGACATCAGAAAAAATGCAGATAAAGTTCGACTTCGCCACGATGCTCTTATTGTGGACAGCGTCCGTTATAGCTGGGACGAAGCCAGCGGCACCCTTATCAAACATTCTGAACACGCGCCTGAGCGGCCGCAAAGGCATGCGCCTTTACATTCACGTCAACCACGACTTCCAGAATGACTGCGTATTGATAGAAATTTGGTCATTTTGAATATTAATGCGCGTAGCTTAGCAAACAAGATTGATAGCTTCAATTGGCTCATTGAATGTCACCAGCCCTCAATTATTTGCGTCACCGAAAGCTGGTTACATGATTCGGTTTTAGATGTTGAAATCTTGCCCCCGGGTTATGTAGTTTTACGCAAAGACGGACTATGTGGTCGTGGAGGGGGTGTAGCACTTTTTATCAAAAAGCACATTGACTTTTCTTTGCTTCCTGATCTGCCAAACGCAGAATCTATCTGGTGCAAGTTAAAAATTTCTGGCCAGGCTATTGCTGTAGGAGCTATTTATCGCCCTCCAAACGAAACTTCTGACGTTTTTTCTGATATTACCAACTATATTTTAGATCGCAAGCTTCACCTAGGCAAATTCATTTTGACTGGCGATTTCAATGCCCCGTGCATTGACTGGAACAATTTTGCATCCTACGGTCGTGACAAAAAGCTTTGTGACTCGCTCGTAAATATGGCACTGTCATTTGACCTCACTCAAATTGTCACCTCCCCTACCCGTGAAAATTCAATACTTGACCTTGTCTTCATAAGCGACGAATTTTGCAAAAAGGGATATTACAGTGAGGTTGTCACAGGTTTGTCTGATCACAATGCTGTAATTGCGTGCCTCAACATAGTGTGCCCGCCAAAACGACCTGAATTTAAGCGTGTGCTTGATTTTAGTCGTGCTGATGACAACTCTCTTATCGATACGCTGTCATCTAGTTTTGAAGATTTTTTTTCCTAGCAGTGAACACAGTGATGTAAATGTACACCTTGGTCATTTTCATTGTATTGTGCAGGAGTGCATATCAAAGTTTGTGCCTCAAAAGTGCATTAAACACAATCCAAAACATCCGTGGTACACACGGGAAATCATTCAACTAACCCGCCGTGTAAAGCGACTTCGCAAAGGTCGTTTTCTTTTGTCAGCTGCGCGATCAGCACTGCTTAATTCTTTGAAGTGTACTTTGAAGGCGAAAATGCAGGAAGCGAAAAATTTCTATTTCAACAATACATTGTCACGGTTTATGGTAAAAAACCTGACCAAATTCTGGAAGTCTATTAACCCGAAGTCATTTGTTCAGTCTTGCTTCCTTATAAATGACCAATCAGGCTCCGATTCTAACACTATTGCAGAAAGCTTCAACAACTATTTCAAGTCCGTTTTCTCTCGTGATGATGGCACTATCCCAGATTATGCTTGCAACTTTGTTCAGTCTACAATTCCAGACATCACAATCTCTTGTTCAGGTGTTCACAATTTGATACTATAATTAGATGTGACTAAAAGTTCCGGTCCTGATGGCATTCCTAATACGTTCTTGAGGCGGTACTCCGAATGGTGCGCTCGTTACTTGACTGTCATTTTTAATAAATCGTTTGCGTCGGCCACTGTTCCCATACTTTGGAAGACAGCTAATGTAGTCCCGTTATTTAAATCTGGCAATAAGCAGCTCATTCCAAATTATAGGCCAATTTCCCTAATTTCAACAAGCTGTAAACTACTGGAACATATCATTCATAAACATATTGTTGAGTATTTGGACGCAAACAACCTTCTGTCCCGGTGTCAGCATGGCTTCTGAGCTGGATTTTCTACAACAACGCAGCTCCTAGAATTCACCCATGACATTGCCACATCAATTAACAAAAGGGGTCAGACAGATGCAATTTTCATAGACTACTCGAAAGCTTTCGACAACGTATGCCATAAAAAACTTCTTCTAAAACTTAGTTCCTTTCTTAAAGATTCTAAATTACTCGGTTGGATTGCGGATTATTTGCGTTCTCGATCTCAGTTCGTTACTTTCAACCAGGTGCAGTCATCCCCTGTTGAAATCCCATCCGGTGTGCCGCAAGGCTCTGTGCTAGGGCCTCTTTTGTTTACTATATTTATTAATGATGTTGTTATTGTCATCTCTGTAACCCCTGTAAACATACGTCTGTATGCCGATGATTGTGTACTGTATAACTGCATTATTACCTTTCAAGACCAGTCAGTCCTCAACAACGTATTCTCGTTATTCTGCGATTGGAGCTCAACGTGGCAAATGCCCATAAATTACAAGAAAACTGTAGCTATGACTTTCTCAAATAAAAAACAGCCTCTCAGTTTCAGTTATAACTACAATGGGTCCACCCTAGCACATGTGAGTGAATTCAAATACCTAGGCATCACCTTTACACATGACCTTGAATGGGGCAAACATGTTGATCGGATAACTTGTCAAGCTCTAAGGAAACTTGGTTACTTATAGCGAAGATTGAAAAAGTCGACAAAAGATTGTAAGTTAACTGCCTACAAGACACTAGTGAGACCGATGCTCGAGTATGCCTCTGTGGTTGAGCAAGATAAAAACAAGATCTTGAGCAAGATAAAAACAGGTTAGAATCTGTGCAGAATAAGGCTATACGGTTCGTTTTTAACCGTTATGATCGGGACTTCTCCCCGTCTTTACATGCTCATTTGTTGTCACTTCATTCACTGGAACACCGCCGTACACGTGAGAGTATAATCTTGTTGCACAAGATTGTACACAAAATGACCCGCGTTCACGCGCCCTTATCTTTCGCTGATATACCAGCGCGTACAACACGTAGTACAGACGCTTTGAACCTTGTACCCTTCAGGTCTCGTTTGGATTGTTTCGAATTCTCGTTTTTTCCGCGTGTGGTGGAAGTTTGGAACAAGCTTGATGGTGCATTGCGTAGAATGAACACTGTAGAGTTCGGGAAAAATTTTATGTGTTAGTCACATAAATTTGTGCGCACTATTGTTTGTTTCTGTGCTTTCGTTAATTTTTCTGTACCCGCTCCTGCAATGTCCCAGGCATGGGACAGCAGTATTTGTAAATAAATAAAATAAATAAATAAATTTCTATTAAACTTGCTGTAGGACAAAGGCTGTCCTTTGTGCTCCTCAGTTGCACTGGTCACACACCAGTAACTTCGAATTTTTCCCACCTCACTACTCAACTTAGCTCTAAGACATAATTACAGTCGAACTTCACAACAACGAAACTCACAGGGCATGGAAAAAATTTCGTTGAAGAGAAAATATCATTGTAGTGAAATAGAAAAAATATAGCTGACCTGAGCTAGCAAAAACAAAATTTTTGTTACTTAAATTAAAAAATATAAACAGCTTCCTTTTATCATTCAGCTCTGTCATACACGATTATCCCACAGGCATAGCTACGCCATGTTGAAAAGCACACCAAATAACGGCTTCCGTGAATGAACCAAACAGTTGCACTAACATGCGAACACTAGCAGCTATCCGCCGTCAAAACGTATGCAACAATGCCAAGATGCAAGCTAATATCATGGATAAGTGACTTATGCCTTACTAGTGACTTATGCTATTTTTATCATCCCTAGTCGCGGCTGGCCGATTTTGTTGATTGTGTGGATGAGTGGTGACTCTGACCAGCAACCACACTGGCCAAGCGATAAAAGAATGAAAAGCATTGGCACCTGAAAAGGCATTATGCTGCGATTGCACTCAGTAGCAGTGTGGACAACTCAGTGACTGAGCCAACAGCTTCGGATTGTCTAAAGCTAAGAAGCAAGCTAGTGGCAAAATGAGAGCAGTCTCATTGCCATCGCTACCAATGGTGACCCCTAAACAGCCGCAATTTTTGGTGATGCAGACACATGATTTAGACTTGGTAGACATATTCTTATGTTATTAAAATCTATCAAAATGAGAAGATTGTGTTTACTGTAGGGCATTAAATATCTCAACCTTGAATTGCATCCTCAAATTTATTGAAGTGGGACGGCAGAAGAAAAAGGGTTCGTTGTGGTTAAAATATTTATGCATTGACACGAACTGCTGACGGGGAACCGATATTTTCTCAATGAAGAGGCATTCGTTGTAGCAGGGTTCGACTGTATGTTTCTTTTCCATTGGTTGTGCTAGTGCATGCTCTAATTTCTGCTCCCCATCGAAAGCATTGACTTTGGCAGTCCTGATGCCACAAAATAGCGCACGAGGGGTTATTTAGGGGTTATTGGCCTGCTACGAATTTTGCCCACTATGCGATAGCTGCCACAATGCATGCGCTGTCAGGGCCATGAGCGGCAATGGCTAACACTTTCGCACCTACCGGATTCCACACACGAATACTCAATAAAGCGGACAGGGACACAGCCACAACATATCTATTATAAAGCACTTCCCACATCATGCAAATGTTCCTTTAGCTGCCATCTGAACTGTGTTGCACTTCATTTACTGTCATTACAAGTTTTCTTAATATTACTGCACTTATATTACAGAGGAAATAGGCAATTTTCAAGTTTGCTTTTCCTAGGTTCACTGCTTGTCGACTTAGAAACTAAGATAAAAAACTAAGTTTTTACATTTCTATTAATTTTCTGGCTTATGTCGAACTTGCGCTTTGTTTCACTTGCCTTCATGTCAAATCGTATAAGAGAGCTTTAGAATAATGTATGCAAAGCTTGCAGGGGTAAATTTGTGGGCTTCACTTAACGGGAGCCTGTGAGAGTTTGGGGCACGACACATTTGCAACCCTTTGCTTGAGCTATTTTAATACTCTCTATTTTTAGCACCACATTTGCAAAGCTGTTCATGCCTCCCTCTAACAAAATTACTGTTATTGCAATTACCTTCATGATTGCCATTCAGAGTGCCATTCTCAAATGAATTGCCAAGCAGACAGTGCCTTCCACTCACCCTCTCGGTCATGCGAATCTGCTGCTCCATCTGGGTGATGTCTGTGCGCAGGCGGATCATCTCGGACTCCACCTTGGCATTGTACTCCTGCAGCTCCAGGATCTCCTCCTCCAGCGCTCGGATGTCCGCGTCGTTATCCATGCCGGGAACCCCTCCTGGCATCCCAGGTACAACTGGTCCCGGCTCTGCACACAAGGATAACCATGTAAAATGCGATGGAACCAATAACACTGCTTTGTGGGAGAAAAAAAAAATAGTTAATAGTGTACACAGCAGAGAACATTTAGGGAAAAAAACCACATTAGTACAGTATTGAAGCCGGTACAGCTTCTCACTAGGCTTGTGCGAATATTCAAAGGCCTCGAATATTCGAACAATTATTATAGTATTTGAATTTAAATTATTAAACATTGCGAAGTGTGCGAAATGAACAGACAAATGTAATTGATCTGAATGTAAGCTCCTGTAAAGGTAGTTTCACTGCAATGAAGTGGTGCTAAACCACAAAAACACCTATTAAAAAAAATTTGCACTCTTGCAAAACCCCATTTCAAAGTTATATGAGCGTATTACCTTCACATCGATTTATCGTTCTCGTCAAGTTTAAAAGCTTGCCATACCAGCTTATATGTTCTAAGTAAAGTAAATGTTATAACGTAACATACTTTACAAATTATCACTTGCATTCTACTGAATTTAACGTTGTTTCCACTTCCATAGAACCAACAAAATGACATTTGCATAGGCCTCGCTTCAGTAAAAAAAATTGTGCAGGTTAGTCAGGTCATGATAAATATGTGCATTGTTCTTTATAATATGTAACATATACTGTTCGAATTTGCTTCAAACTTGAAATGCACTATTTGTACAAGCCTACTTCTTAGGTTTATTTATTGATGGAGAAAATGAGTACCGTATTTACTCGTGTAATGAACACACTTTTTTTCTCGAAAAATCGGATCAAAGTTGAGGGGTGCGGTTATCACGCGTGGTAAATTATGAAAACTTTTTGGGGAGGAGCAAAAAAAAATGCGGTAATGAAAAAAAAAGTTAGGTTGCTTAGCTTTTCGCAATTGACATATGCGTACACTGTTTCGAAGCAGCTTCTTTATTGCAGTTTACTCATCTTCGGTGGTTGATGGCGCTATCTTCCGCAAGCTATCCCCGGGCCGCCCGCGCACGCTATAAAAGCGTTTTGCGGCTATCTTTCTTGTTGCAGTCGCTTAACCGCAACATCTGCTGTGATCTCGAGGGGCGCAGAAAAGCGTACGATACAACGTTACAACGCACTTTGCCAACTTGGCGGTAACCTCACACGACGACCGTGACGACGCCGTTAACATCGTAGCAAGTCACCATCATTGCAGCATGCTACCCCCAAAGCATCAAAACTAGGCTTGTGCGAATAGTGAATTTTAGGTTCGAAGCGAATAGTGATCTTGGTTGAATGATTTTGAATTGAATAGTCTATATGAAATACTGTATAGACTATTCGTCTATATAGTATGTCAATAGGTGGGTGGATCAACAGGTGGTGCGACAATCTGCTTACTCCCCAAAACTGCATACAAAATTGGGTCAGTAAAGTGTCCCAATTTAGATACATGGAGCCTATGGGGAGTTTCCCAACCCGTTTGATTGAATAGCTCTGTCGTAGCTGTGGGTGGGAACAGGAACTGTCATCGACTTCACTACTGTTTGTTGAGACCTGGTTTAGACTAATGGACAAGCTGCTTGCTGTGTCACGTCGCCGAGTTGTCACTGCGCGTGCAAGGAGCATTGGTCAGGCGTGGGAAATGAGTGTGGGAATTGTTTTCTGAAATGGAAGCTCTGCACTGCGCGCAGCTCTGTAATATTTAGTAAACGTGATCGCTGCGGTCTACTCTGCGAATTACCGAGCTTGTTAAGGTGGTGTAAAAAAAGTCAGAGCCTGTTGACTGGCCTTTCAAAGGGCCCGTAAACCACCGAGAGGTCCAAATTCAGTTTTGGTAGGAGAATTGCGCATGAGTGTACGACGAACACAGAGCCGTGAGAATTTTTCGAAACGGTGCAGTAATAGCAGAGTTAGACGCATTGGATTATCAAAACCATGACGACCACACCTTCTGCTCTCTCCTGCGCTTCCCTCCGCTCTCTTATCCTCTGCCATGGCGCTTTCCCTTCTCACCAAGTGCCCTTCCTATGCCCCTCTCAGTCTCGTGTGGCATACGTCATCGCTGACACGCTGCTTGAAACACCGTCAACAGCCCGTTGCTGTGACTCTGGCCGTTTCCTCCGTCAGCTGCGTTGTAGCTGCGTGCTTATTGGAAAACCCTGGCTGCCATAATTGTGCCGGTATGGATCCTGCATTGCGTGCACACCTTTGAAAAATCGCCAACGCGATGGACCCGTACGAGGACACGTCGTGCCCCGTACGTGTTGAACGCACGTGGGCAACAATACGAACAACAAGCAACGCGGATAGCTGCTAGCAGACTGACAGAAAACTGTCATCGACGCTTACTCGACCAATCACAGCCTATTTCGCATAATTGGGTCTGCGCGTCGGAGATGTGTCTCGATGCGTCATACAAAGGCTCGAAAGGCCCGGAAAGAAGGAGGGATTGTTTCTGGGAATTCGTGGTGCGCCGGCGGCTCGTAAGCGCTGCTACGTGTAGAATCGTTGATTGCGACGGCATTCTGTAGACGACATGCGCGTTTACTTGAAATGCTTGAAAAAATATCGGAGGTGGTTTACAGGGCCCTTCAAGTGGAATGGAATTGTTGCTTAAAGGGGCTATTACACAGTCACACAAAAATTTGAGCTTTCCAGCGGAAAATAGAAGTAGAGGGTACATTATGCATATACATATAATAACAGTGGTCTGTGAAAAAACATGTAATTGTGAAACAAGCTACAGAACTCACTGGATATAAGCCCTACCCAATGCCATCCACTTCTGTAATGGCAGTGTGATACCATGTGCAGCAAAGAATGGTGCCATCGTCAACTGCCAAAGTTTGAGATGCTGAAGGAGTGCCAAGCTAAAGAAAGCTAAGGTATCTTGATTTCACATGCAGCTTACCATAGAACAATGTTGTTCAGCAAGCTGCCTGCAACGTCATGACTTCCAAGTGCACCAGTGTTGCTCAATTCTAAGGCGACTTCTGTGCTTATAAAAATATCGAATTATAAACCAAGTGCTCAACCAAAAACATTAAAATTTTGCCAGCAGTGAACGCACACACATAACGCAGATTGTGGTAAAAAACTTTGTGAAATGGCCCCTTCAGATGTAAGTGCCTCTAAATGGATTAGTTTACACTTGAATCCTGCATTCGTGTTCGTCTCTCAGTAAATGGAACCACTGTTAGATGTACACATTCTTCTGGTCCTTTCAGATTCCGTTTAAGGGAATCTACTGTAATTATTTTCTGAGGTTACAGCCCCCGTGTCTAGAATGCACGTAGAAGCAACATCTTCTGAGCGGGAACTCTCTCCTCAGAAAACAAACCACTGTATATATTAATCGGGGCATATTGATATTAGTTAGTTGTCGTTTCCAAGCATCATTCCATAACGAACAGAGCGAATCACTAGAACCATGCAGGGGTAGGACACATGGCTAATCCAAAGACAAATGATTGCTCAAGAGCTGTCATATATCTCGACTGTTTGGTAAAACATAAAAAACTCCTGGCACCCATGACAAGCAAAGTCTAAAAATAAGAAGGTTTGTGAAAAAAAGCTACAGTTATAAAATGCTTGCAAGGGTATGCCGCCGAGTCCAGGTATATTGAATATGACGGAGATCCTGAAAAAGCTCTGCATAAGATAATTCAATATTTAAATATCCTATGTACATATAAGAATAATATGCAAGGAAACTGCTTGATATAAATAACAATTCGTTATATGTAAGTGCTGACATCTGGCCTTATTGGATATGTGGCATCTGCATACTGAAGTGAATTAGTGCGATTTCAGAGGACAATTTCGAAAAAGTGTGTTGCATCTATGAAGAAGCGGATGTCCTGAAACATTGGTAGGGGGTTTCGCTGTTATGTCCCAGTGTTTTCCTTTCAAAAGCCAACGAAGCAGTTCTCATTGTTTATGAGTGCTGCGCCGATGTGCGCATGTCAAGCATCAGGAAGAGAGCACAGGACTTATGTGAGCAGCTCCATCTAGATAACGTGTTTGCGAAAATTGTAAAATGCAAAAAGAATGTTTTGAGGTTTTCTTTAGTGCAGCAACGCATCAGCCGGAAACTTCATCTAGGGTGATTGTATCAGAAGTTGCCACGTGGCAGTAGGCCTTGGCTTGTTCATTCAAGATAAGCTTAACATCATGGAGGTGAATGACCCAATCTTGGTGAGGAAGTCTCAGCATGTTTTGGAATTTCTTTCCCAACAAAATAACAAAGGCCTTTCTGCCACATCTGTAGATATTAGGGACCTCTTTTTACTCTCTGTTCCGTGATGCTTTACTCAAATGCGCCAAAGATGCCCAGGAACAGTTTGGCTGAATATATTTTCACGATGCATTGGGTACAGTCGACGTCCAATTTTCCGGACTCCCGAAATTTCGGCCATGTCCGATTTCCCGGACTCATTTGTGGCACCGTCAAGTTCCCCATAAAGTCAATGAATTAAAAAGTCCAAAATTCTGGACGCTTATAGCCTTCGGCATCCGATTTTCCGGACTTTTTACTGTTAACCGCCGACCCAAAGTCACCACCGCCGCCGCCATTTGGTTGTTTTCATATTGTCGCGTCCCCAACTGCCGTACTGCGCTGCGGCTGCCATAATCTCGAAACCGCACCTGTCAATCCATTCCAGTCATAGCTAAGAGGCTTAGCCAAGCCAAACCTCACTGTGTTCGTTCACGTGTTTTGTCAGCTCGGTAGTCGTGTCTGCGGTTGATCGTTTGCTGCTGTGCGCTATTTTCAGTGATCACGTTTCCTGACCTTAAGCATCCACTGAGTTCCTAGCTGTTTCGTGCTGCACTTTTCGTCTAGCGGATTTGCCGTTTACCGCAATGGCACCGACTGCTCCTTCGTTTTCGTCTGTGCCTTCGAAGCGCACGAAGCCCCCTTGTAGGCTCTTGATGAGAAAAGCTACGCTGTTGACCCTAGGTCTGCTATCGGCATGCTAGCAGAATCGTGAAAGGCGGTTACACAAGAGACTCGATGAAACTGTTTTCACCACGCGAACTTCACACACAACGCCGAGGACTCGCCCCAAGTGGGCAGCATGTGTGACCAACTGCCATCTACGAATGTTGCCTTCGACGATGTGCACGCTGCCGGCCTGTCGATTCCAGTTGGGATAACCTTTGAGGGCTTCGCCGAGGCTGACAAAGACCTCGAGCTATGTGCGGACTTGGCCGATGACAAAATCATTCATCCAGTTACAGAAGATTCCGACGACTCTGACACCGAAAATGAGGAGCCATCTCCTACACAGCCAACGAGCTCGGAGTTGACGCGAGCACTAATGACACTGTCATCAGTGTACAGTGGCAACATGACGTTGATTGAAATTGAGGCAGACATGATCGTGGGTAAGCGGAACGCCGTGCAAGAGAAAATAGGCAACTTCTTTGCGCCGAAGTGCTGACCTATGAGGTAGCGTCGGTCACTTCGGATTTTTTTTTTTTTTCGGCTCTTTTCGGAGCCACCTAACCGATGTATTGGCTGAATTGCAATGGGAAACTTGTACTCCAGCCGTTACCCTCTCCGTAAGCGAAAAATACCTACAAAGAAAGGTGCGTTTTCATGTGCATTCGTTTTTCTGGACTGCCCACTTTCCAGACGTTTTTGCGGTCTCTTGAGGCTCCGGCAAATCGGACATCGACTGTACCTCGTCATGCATCTTTCAGATCGTTTAGCTTTTTACCTCGACTTGACCTACATACAGTGAGATGTAAAAGCTTTTATTTAAAAGCAAGGAATGTGCATCCAATCCTGCATTGCGTCTGTTCTCAGCAGGCTTATTTTTGGGCAGTCTTAACAAGTTTGTGTCATATAGAGAGAAAAGTTCTAAATGGTTTCAGGTATGCGGGTGACTATCTGTTCATGACAAAGATTCTTTTGAATCTGAAGCCACTAACGTATTACACCGGCATGCGATTGCTATACAACCACTTATGCTCACCCATGAGGTTCTGGGTGAGGATTGTACAACTCAGTTTCTCTATGTACGATTTCATTTCTAGGAAAGGCGCACATGCTGGTCTTATGAACCAAGCCGTAGCTAGTCGCTGTTAGCTTTCCATTCTTCCCATTTAAAACTGGTAAAAAGGTCTATTGTCTGACCGTGCCTCGTTAATGCCCTAACAAAATTTCGTTCCCATCATTTCGTGACGAACCTTTAATGGCAAAAAATTAGCTTGTGACAAGCAAGTTAACCCGATCACCTTGTTGTATTGGTCGCAGCATGCCTGCTCAACAAACCATCCCCATATTGCCAGGATGGCACAACAGCTAGTTCTGATAGGCCAAAAAAGTTTGCCACTGTACTTGCACAGGGTATCTTGCAACATAAAAAAGGTGGGCACTCGAGCGAACCTTGGCGTGGTGTTCATGCCCTCAAACAATTTCGCTAAACCGTGCAAAACTAGCAACCCAGTTGCTCAAAAAACGCTTGGCTGCAAATAGAATCAGAGGGCACATTATGTGCCCAACAAAGATAGATTTTTTTTACCAGATCCTCCTATCATGTGGAAAACTTTACTTAGGGCAAACGGGGAGACGTTTTAATGACCGACAGACACCTTTGGAACAATGCAAGGAAAGGTGGCAATGGCTGGTTACACACTGTAGCATGTGTAGGTGTGTTCCATTTCTTAATAAGTGTTCCATTATCTGTAGACACTCTGACAAAATCACACCATTAATAAAAAAAATGCCAGGCCTGCGCTGAAAGCACAGCACAGTCACAGCTAAAGCTAAAAGAACAGCTTTTCAGACCTTTTTCTAAACACTCATTGGGTAACTCCTGCAAGCACACTTGCTGGGTACCATAATAAATATTTTAGGGTAGTAGGCTGGCATTCTCTATGCCATCCTTCGACATTCTCCTGAGAAGTGTAGTATCAGCTAAACTATTGCGAGGAATTTTCTGACAATTGTTCATGTATTGGCCGACGACAATGAGGAATCATGCCTGAAGTGGGTATGCACCACAGTTAATAGGTGATCAAGAACAAGCTTTTATAGTGGGTTGGAGCATTGGACGACCCACTTGTTACACTATTCGCATTGTGTGACGCCTGGTTGGTTGTTAGCTGTGCTAAAACGTTTCCTTACTCATATTAACGTGATTCCTTTCCCAACATCAAGCCTGCCTAGGGCAAGTTTGCCAACAAGTACCAAGCACCGGCGTAGCTCAGTGGTTACTGTGTCATTGATACTAGGTTTTCTTGCTACTTTCACACGATGTGGTTACGGACACTGGCGGCGGCAGACAACTGGGGCGCTGCATGAGACCTGAGTTGTGATTTCATAACAGCTTTCGCTGTAAAAAATCTGTGACTATTCATAGGCTGGGTGATGAATGTGTTAGCGCCCTGTCACTATAAATGGCAGACAAGAGCTTGTTTTTCTCAATAAACCTGTATTTCTGCATGCGTGAGTGTTGGTTCTGTGTAAAAATATGTGTGATCCTAATTTAAATATATAATTTGCCGATGTTAGCACTTGTGTATGTCCCTTTTGTTTTGTCCCCTCTAGAAAAAATTTGGGCTAAATCACTTCAGATTTGTCATAGAATGCTTGTTCGATACAAGCTGGTTCAAGTGTACAGGAATTATGCACCAAGTGCAGTATTGTTCCAGCAGTGTGGTAGGCCATTACATCGTACTCCAAGTGACCTACCGGCAGTGCAAAGCAAGTAGTAGCTACCTGGCTGAGGCTTGGGGTCGTCAGCAGCCATCTTGGCCTTCTTCATGGCCTGCGTGGCCCGGGGGCAGCCCGACAGGCTGCGGTGGGTCAGGAAGCTTCCATTGGCATGCCCGCTCCCGTCGCACCCGGGGGTCGGACAGCTTCAACAGGAATAACAAATTAGAAGCTTAATCATCTCGTGGGATACTACTTGATTATTACGCCTTATTACGGGCTGTGTCCAGTTATTTCATAAATGTCCTCTCCTCCTTTTCTTTTGCCCCTTTAAGGACAGAATTTTTTTTATGTTTAGTTTTTTTTTTCAGGGTTACTTGTAAGAGTCGGAAGAACAAAGTTGTTTTACTTTTCAGAGCTGCACTTACTCGTTAGAACACTCTCATTACCCCCTGAAGTTATACATGCTAGCATGTGCAGCACGACAATTAAAGCGTCTTACATGATCATTTATGTAATGCATGCTAATACAACGTTCAGAGGTCTAGTGAGACAGCTATCCGATATCACCATTTTTGAAAGTGTCACCGGGAGCATAAAAATATGGTTCATGTGCAAAAGCTTCAACCCTTTACAATATGCTTAATAAACATAATGTGATGCCATAAAAACTTAGCTATAGTTCGCAATGACATCTCAAAACTGTCAAGTACATTGCTTGTACACTGGTAACTTTACACTTATCCAAGGCAAACACATGCTTAAAACATCTTCCTAGCATAAATTACGATCAAACTATAATATGGACTAATTGCTTAGCGATGCCAAACAATAGTGTCTTCTATGCATAGCCCTTCAGCGAAGTATTCTTTTTTGTGAATTGAGAATTTTTTTAAAAAATGTTCCGTGTTCAACTAGGTTTAGGAATTATTGTATAAGTATTCTCACAGGCCTTGCTGCACACGTTGGCACCCCGCATACTATAAACTGAAAATTCAGGTTTTCAAAACATAGATATGAGAGGCAGTTTGTTTATTCATCTTGTGCTCACGTCTCCGTAGCTCATTTTTAAAACTATTAATATTTATCACGTTGCATTAACCTTTCGCATATTGTTTAACATCTCCTCATTTATAATAATGTGTAGGTGTGCTCGGAACTCTTACAATGCCTAGGCACTTACCTAGCACCTTCTGTCTTAATAGGCCTTCCATCGACACCAACAACTTCATGCCTCAACTTGCTCCGGTTCGCCAGCGGACATCCAGAAGCGCTGCATCAAGACAAATGGTATGTCACATTAATATGAAAGAACAATAACTTTCTGCAGAATTCATACGCCAATGGATAAACGATATTTCTGATACATCTTTCTAAGAGTTATTAGCGAACGACAGAGTATTTGACAGAGATCTAACTGATCTCTCTTTTTTTTTTCAAGAACTGTCTTTTATTATGTCCCATCTCAGAGGCAGGCCCCGTATCTCTATTGATGCAAAGCGAAATGGAGTACCACAGTTAAACAGTAGATAGTAAACGGTGGAGCCTTCGAAGAAGCCTTATGCATGTATGGTGACACCACTTAACATTATGAAACCTTTTTTTGCATCAGCCTAACAAACCAATCATTAAGAACTCTGAGTGCACTAGTGATAATTTGTCACAGCCACGTGACATGTTCTATTGAAACAGGAATGCATACCGTTAATACAGCAGGCAATTAGTTCTTTTGCACCAACCAGTTGTAGCGCCCGAGGTTTGATCATACATTAGGTGAGCTGCTAGGGAAAAAAAAAAAAAAACTACTTTGCACAGCTGTTGCAGTTAGTAAAACATGTGAGCACAGATGCTTAGGTTACATATGTATTACGAACATGACACCACACACTCGGTGTGTGAGCAGAGATTGAGGACAACAAAAGACATGCCAATAGAGTCAGTCGCGTTCATGGGATATTGCACTTATGAGGGGTATATAGCTGGTCTGAGGGCAACAACGTGTCGCACGGAAACCAGCCATACAAAAGAGGGCAACACACATCTCATCAAGTAGGGACACAGCACACCATAACAAGACACAACAGAAAACACATGACTTCATTTAAAATCTAGTATTTGAATGTACGAGCGATTGGACACGCAACTAACGTGGTGACTTCCACTCAAATTGTCAAAATATCAAAACTGCGCTGTACATTCAGTTTTTTTTTTTTACTAAAAGCAAGAACGTATGCACCGCGGTTAATTATTTTTCCGCTTCGGTTACAATCCACTCTTGAATGCGAATTTCTAAGAACTAACCGGAAACGCTTAAAAAGAAACCGCAATCGATGAATGCCGACACTATCAACAAACAGCAGCTATACCGAAACGACAAATAGAGCTCAAACATAGCTCAAATGCAGCAATCGACCCGAGCGTTTCATTCCCTGCTGGCGTTCGTACACTCAAGTTTAACTACACCGAAGCAGAGAGGTTACGTTAGTTCAAGTAAGCAGCAAACGTCAGGGAGGAAAGCACGAGGCGTGCTACGAGGTGTACGACGGATTACACGTCTTATTAGGTAGACACGATATATATTTTCGTTAAAGATAAACACCGAAGTAAAGGTATACGTTGCGTCTCAACGACGCGATGAAAGCGGTCCGTCTGTTCACTTACAGCAGGTCCATCGTAAAAAGAAGGATATCGCAGGTAACGAGGATCTTGTAAGACTTCACTGCACTTCACCAGTTAAACAGTATCAGTTAAAACAGTTTAAACGCGTTGACAGTAGCGAGAACCGCCCGACGCCACCTCACCTACGCCCGCTTTCAAAATACTTCGTTTTACGTTAACAAAGCATCGGCGTCGCGATGGCAAGAGCACTGCTGCAGTTGGTGAGAGCACGCAGTTTCGAAGTCATCAAGTTTCGGTTTCGGTCGCACATTAGCGCGATATCCGAACTGCTTATTTATGTCGACGTGTCGTTCCCAAAGTTACACGATGACGTGCCCGCTCATGACCTGTATTTCCGAAAACGCAATCTCGGGGCTATACTGTTGCGCGATTTTCCGAGAATTTCCTGACCTTGCTTTATTGTGTGCAACGTATTGAACTATTGTTTGCGGCACTGCGAACCGTGAAAGTAGTAAACCGTGGTGAATCCTGTACCTTAATATGTGATTTACACGATTTGTTGTGGTTCCGCGGTCATAAGAAGTGTTGATGGGGCATATACGAGTGGCTTTTATTTTAAATCTTTGCTTGAAATAATGAAAGAATTGACATTTTGCCCTAACTGTCATAAAGTCGCGCCCATGACGCCGTGACTGACAGTTGGAAAAAAAAACTTCAAATTGAAATGTAGTTTTCGCAATATGTGTTAGCGCGAGTGGACGTGCAGTAAAGCCCTGACCACCCGTACGCGCTGCGGCGCGTGGCGCGGATGGATGGATGTGGCTGTACCCTTCAGATAGAGCGGTCGCTACCGCCACCTAGCCGTAATACTTAGTGAACTAATCACTAGTTTTATCTTTTTTTTTTCCTTTAAATAGTGAAGTTGAGGACTGGTACTTTGCAGTGAAGGGTTTCATTTTAACCTTCTTCTAGTTAATAATAATAATATTAATAGGTATAATAAGTGTATACGCGGCACAGCGCCCTCTCGTATGAAGAGAGCCGGATCAAGCGCCGAAATGTCACAGCGCCGTCAAACTTTTGATCCCACGAGACCGCGCACTCTTTATGCGTTATAGTACAAGGAATTGTGACGCTTGCCAGTGCCATCGCTTTGAGCAAGACGCTTCTTCACCTTGTAACGCGTACAAGCCGTTTTCACGAAGATGTTGACGTCAACGAATCATCTCGTTTTCGGCATGGCGCGGCTTGGTGAGAGAGTTCGTGCAAAAGATGCGTTTGAGGCGCGCACACTTGAACAAAGAGAGTGCATGCTTGAGACAGAGACAAAGCAAACACCGTACCTTCGGTGAGATTGAAATTTCCCAGTCACGTGTCCTGAGCCATCGCAGCCCGGGATGGGACAGCTGTAAAGGATTCGTTCGGGAAGGATGCAAGAACGGGCAGGTAGTGGAATGGTTAGTTTAGGAAAGAGGAGTACCATGGTTGGTACGCAAAGGTGGTTACGGGAGCGTGAGGAAGAGAGAAAGCAAGAACGGCTGCGGTTAGTCAGGGGGTTAGTGTTCCAATGCCATGCACTGTTACTCATGGATCGTCTTACTGCGTACAAAGGCGCTATTCGTGCAAAGCGACAGGCAATGAAACATGGTTCACCCACACTTGGGGTCGCACACGCAGGCGTAATGAGCATATTGTCTCGTAATAATGGTTCTAATAAAGCTTGCGATAAAATAAAAGTCATTCGTTCAGTCGTGCATGCACATCGCGACAGTCTCTGTTGCTTAGAGAAAAAAAAATTAAGGAGACAACGTGTTGCATCACGGACATGATGCAAACGGCTCGACGAATTCGTATAATTTCGATTAACGTGGTTGATTAACCACAAAAACAAAGATATTTGTTACTCTCTACTGCTGCCATAAAAGTGGCAACTCAAGGAGAGCCAAAGCATGTGGCAAGTTCCGGGAGGTAGAGTGCACGATTCAATGAGTATTTCAATTGAAACAATATTTCAAGAAAATTCACTTGCTACCGTTTTCTTTCTGTGAAATTCAGTCTGCCAATCTAGTACAACAGCCACAGGATCACAGAGCCCTAACTTAGTACACGCACACATGGATACCGACCTCACTCTGTAGAGTGCGGCCGGTATAATATATAACGACCGCACTTTACAGAGTATTATATCGATATTAATCTACTGTGGTGAAGAGCGAGAGGCGGTTTTGCATACTGACTGCCACGATACGAAAATGCAGAGCTGAAGACTTCAGTGAAATCTTCGTGAACGTTTCTCGCTCTCGTTGTGTTCAAAGAGACGGTAATGGGTTGATGCAAAGTACCCGAAGTTTTGTGGTTATATCACCAATACATCGTCGCTATTTCCTCTAAAGATCTCTGCTCGAAGTTCACCAAGAAGGGAAGCAAATGCATGCAGCTTTTCACAAGAGGGGAAAAAAACGCCGCCATGTTGGGCTGCGCTTAGGAGTACAAAGGCTCAAGTCACAGCATTGGAAGTGCACTTTCGGGGGTCACGCTGATTAGCACAACCCAGAAAAGACTATGGCAACGACCATGCAGGGAGCCGGTTTCGAAAAGGTCTATACCCAGGGAGACGTTCGGTTTGCCAAGAGCCACCCTCGGCAAATCAACATCTTTTGACGCCGTGTCACGTTCCCTTCGAGACCGACTTTCGCGCTTGCTCGATAGGGAATCGGTCTTCGTGGTTACTAGAACTTACATTGCATTGTTCATTGATCATGATGATTATTAACATCAAATTGGACATGGATTGGCGGCCAATAGTTACCTCACTTTTACATTATGATCACGTGTCACTCCGCCTATTAGAGTCTATAGACCTTTTCAGTGAAGGCTCCCTGGACGTCACCATGCATAGTCCTCTCCGGGCTGCTGTTAACATGCGTGATCGCCAAAATATGCACTGCCGAGGCGGTGGCCCCAGCTTTTGTACTTCTGTGCATCAGCCCAGAAAGAAGAAATTCTCTTCTCCGTCAAAAGAAAAAAAAAAGTCTATAGCGTCCTATATACTATGTATATTTTTTCTTCGCTAAAAGTTCCTACAAGGCAAGGCTGGTTTCGGTGAAGCGTACGTAACCGTCCCTTTCGCCCAACTTTCGATCTATTATTCTTATATTCTCAGCGTGTAACTACAAGTTCCCGTCTTGCCCCTGTTTCATTAGAAGGGTCTATTTTACATGAGTATTTTTCATCTTTAAAGAGGCGTTACGCCACTTCACATAGTTCTTTTATTTTCCATTCTATATGACAAAGTTCGTCACTTTTCCCAGTTTTTTTTTCCTCGCTCAAGACGCAGAAAGGCGTTAGGCTTGTATACGCGTTGCACAAGTCGAGAATCAGTGAAATCGCCAGAGTGCAGAAACGGTGTGCTGTACCTTTTGCCTTGGGACCGGTCTGCCTTCCAACAAAAGCTGTCGCCGGTCGGCGGAGAGTGGTAATCGAGCGTGGGCGACTGTACGCACATGCTCAACCTAGGACCCAAGAGCAAGAAACAAACTTTCGTCAGGCACGACTTGTAACCGAGAAGGCAGTCGATATGCACGTGCGTTAGCCAGAAGTCGATCACAGCGAGCGTTACGTCGACTCGAACGTTATTCACAGTTCAATAGTCGCGGCATTTACGAGAGCTCCTTGGATGTCCTAGGTTGAGCCTCTGCGCTCGCACTTCTTTAGAGAAATATATTTTCCGCCCGCCCGAATACATTCCGCATGTCCATTAGTGCATGCACTAATGTGGTGCTACTGTGGACATTGTCGACTTCCGCCATGCCTGCCAACCCGATCCGGCTTCTTGTCAGTTCCGATCGGTCCAGAGGACCGCTACGAGCCCTCCGATTGGTTCGAAATGCCGTCATCACTAAATGTGGCAACATGGGGGAATCGAATGGTGTCCACAGTAGCACATTCGAAGACGGCAGCAGAGGTGATACGATAGTGACATTTTGTGGTCCGTTGAGCCGAACAGCCGGTCAGCGCCCCCCCCCCCCCCCCATCAACATTTTCATGAAATTGAGAAAATGATAACTGTCGATAACTTTTATTCGCGTACCAAGACGCTCAAAATACGTATATGTACAATTAATTACTCCGGTACAGCACTTTTGAAATCCTTGACTTGGAAAAGATTTAAAAACCGGTACCTCTCGTATTGATGATTGGTTTGAAGATAAAAAAGACAACCCTCATCGAAGATGTGGAGTACACCAAAGGCTTTTGAATGTTACTTTGGGGAAGGCATCACTCACTTTCCACAGGTGTAAGTTCCGCTTTGTACGGCAAGGAAGGGCATGGGTATGGTATCCCTTTAGGCACCACAAAGGCTTTTCAATGTTACTGCGGGGAAGCCACGACTAATTCTCTCCACACGCTGCTCATGATCGAGGGCCAGTAAACTTGACACGTGTACGTTGTTTTGTACAGCCAGGAAGGGTGACAGGTGAAAAAAGGATAAGGAAAGATGGACGGTTCTTGAATAGGAACAATTCGTTCCACCGGTCTACGGTTAAAGAGATTAGTTTTGGAAGCATGTGGGCTTTTCAAATTTTACTGCGCGCGCGAAAGTCACGGCTCATTTGCTCCACGCATAAAGAGAGGGGAGGGGGGGGGGCACTGCGAAATCTTCAACTGGTGGGCTCTGCCTTGAAGCAAAAACGGGTGAAACGAAAGATGGGAATGGCTAGTACTGGTGTGGAACAATGGCACAGCCGCAAAAGAGGTGGAATGACCCCCCTTTACAGTAAATTTTTTTTCGGCGTGGCTCACTTTATTTGACGCACGTGGGTGGTAAACGTTTCTTTGCTAGTCGTTTACGGCGGTTACACTAACGGTGACTACCTAGGTTTACATATTGCAAATATGGCGGGAAATAATATTCGAGGCCTCCGTTCTTAGGCAAGACTGACAGCGGAGTTGGAAATAAGTAAAAGAAATATGCGCGTAATTACGCTCGCAAATGGCACACACGAAAACACTTCCCCTTCGAATACTCATTTTAACATTGGGCAATTGACACGCAGCACTGAAGGCACCAAGAAAGAGCAAGGTGTTCTTCAAGAGAGATAACTGGGCTCACTGGAACACATTCGCGGTCAACAATTCAGCGCGAAATTTACGAAGACAAAAGCTTCCAATAACGTGCTTTCCTCATGACCATTTCTTTTATCTTTTCGTCTGCCTAGCGCTAAATTGTTTATTAGATCTTTTTTGAAGGTGGTAAGAAATTGTAATGTGGCTGGTAGCGACACTTTCAAGCAGCGGTATTTTTCGTTACTCGCGCACGAATGTGTCCTAGCTCCAGCGCTATGGTGCGACAGCAAGTCTGGCCAGCAAGCCCACATGGCCCGTCTCATCCGTTTTCAGCGAGGCAGGTCTCACAGTAATAACTGTTGGGGTTTGACGGCCCAAAAGCATAGCAAGAGGGAAGGCGTAGTAGAGGTCTCCGGAAATGTCGAGCCCCTGGGGTTATTTAACGCGCGCTTAAATCCAAACACCTCCAGCATATCGCCACCATCTCGAATCGGTCCTGATTCGTTCCTGCGACCTCCGGGACAGCTGTCGAACACCATAACGAAGACCACCACGGCGCGTCAGACGTGGCTCATATTTTAGCTATATCATTGTGAAAACTCTACCCGGGCAGAACAATACTGCGGAAATCAAAGCTAAACGAAACAAGACATGGGCACTTACCGCAGCGGCTCGGCGTCGGGCTTGTCCTCCCGTCCGGCGGCGGCCTTCTTGGGCTTGCTGTTCCGCGGACATCCGGACAGGCTGCGTTTAGAAGAGGCGGCCTTAGCGGGCGAAGAGTCGTCACCGCAACACGGGCACACGCGGGAACGGTGCCGATGCACAGACCGCGACTCGCCGCGCTCAAGTCTGGTGCGGGACCGGGTCTGCATGGTGTCTGCTGCACGTGTACGCGCGAACTGTGCTGAACTTGTCTGACGAAGTCTAGATTAGCGACTGGACCTTGGCCGAAGCGTGTCGATGCTTTTAGGAGTTCTCGGGGAGGGCGAACGGGGCGACCTCTATCGGTTGCGGTCACGTGCTGCTTTCACGTGTTCCCTTTCCTCCCCGTTTTATTTAAGGGAGAAATTCAGGGCGAAACGGAGACGGGGTGCGGAAAGACGGTACGGGAAACCTTTCTCGCTGGGGTTGGAATTGCGAATTTTTTTTCCTCACACGTGTTTCATGAAGTTTGCACATACTGTGTGGATCCATAGCTATTAACTAGCTTGGGTCCAAAAGATGCATTTCGTAAGGCCACTTCGGAAAAATCATAACTAAAGAAGTTATATATCTAATAAAAAATCTGAAAAGAAGCAGTACATAACATAACCACACAAAGACGAAAAAACATGTTACAAAACAGTAAAAAGAATGACCTCAAGTTACACAGTAAAATTAGGACAGCAATTACAACAAACATGACCGGTCATTAATAAATCAGATCACTCTTTTAAATACCGTTTTTCTAGTGTCTTGGGGAAATTTGAACACACTTTAATTTCAAAAGGCATAGCATTCTAGATCTTAATACCAGTTTACACGTGCCTGGATTTAAACAGGCCCAGCTGGCTTTTGTAGGCATTCAACCGTCCATCATGAACCGTTTTTCTCTTTTTGTGTGTGTGGCCATCGTACAGCGATTTATTTCTTCCCAAAGTTCAGCAACATTGAAGCTACAAGACATTTTTCACATTTGCCAAAAATCTGAGGCGATTTTCATCCAATATTCATCTTGTGCCCGTAAAAATGCGAATTGACCGTTTGCAGAAATCTGCAAGGTGGCTTTCCTGCAAAGTTGATTTCCAACCAAAAGGTCTCGTTCACAGACTGCTTTTCTCAGTCATTGTTCCTCCCCCCTCCTCACTTCTTTACGAACGACAGGTGCATCGCCCACAATGCAATCTGAGCGTTCATTCGAGGTGAGACAACCACACGGCAATTGTTGGGGAAACAAGTCGCTTTGTCGTGCTCGCGTGCCTTCACTGGAAGAATAGGAGTGGTAAAAGCACAGTGAGGGAGGAGCAGTCCGAGGAACCAGAGTTTCTTTTCTTTTGGTTTGAAAACAAGCTTGCAGGAAAGCCACCTTGCAGATTTCTGCAAATGGTCAATTGAAGCATCCAGTTTACCAATGTTTTAACTAGAGCGAAAAACCAACAGTGTTTACGTGCCTGTACCACAGACGTGAATTCCGCGCGTTCTAAGCTGCGCAATCCACGTCAATGTCTGTTATGAAAAATAGGAGCTCTCTACCTTGCTCCTGGACGACATATATGAATAATAATTGCTGGGAATTTTAGTCACAAATGGACGGCATATATACATGTAGAAGACATTTATTTTCACGCCTACAGATCAATCAGTTAGCTCTGTTCGCTCCCCCCCTCCCTTTTTATTTTGGCACATGAACTATCGGCGTCAAACGAAACCCGAACAGCAGCAAGCCTCTGCGATGGTATAGGCCGCGAGATTGTGTTAATGTACCTCTCCCCCATTCGTTCCGACGTCCTTCGGTATAAAGATGTTAACGACGGAGCGGTAGCGTAAAAACGTACCGTATTTGCATATCGTATTTCCGTAACCTGCTTAAAGTTCCCAATGTTATACGAGTGAAGGTGGAATCGGCCTCTTTTCACTATGTCAAGGCGCATTCGCCTTTCGCCTAGCGGAAATGTCACGAAACTAAAGTCTTTGGATTTTTCAAAAGAAAAAAAAAATCTTGGGACTTCAGCGAGACGGCTCTTAATCTCGGAGGCTTGTTTTGGTGATACCGGTCGTCCCGACCGCTACCGGAACGACGGAGGGCAGTACAGGAAAAAAAAAGCGAATTACAGGGCAGTGGTTGAGAAAGAGCGGCTTGAGGTCTTTGGAAAAAAGCCAATGAATGAATTCGGGATTCTTGAAGAAAGGAAATAAAGGCACCTAATTTCTGTCTGCCCCATTGGTGACCCGGCGCAGTGTCTTGTAGGGGATGGCAGAAGGGGGATAAAAGGAATAGTAGAAAGATAAAGAAGAAATAGGAAACATGGGGAACGCGGTCGTACGAGTCCAAGGACGGGGCACCGAACGGCGAGAGCTACACGGCGTCAGAAGATCGCGGATGGTGGGCCGATCGCCGAGGGCCAGGCTGGTGCCAGTAGATCACTGACGACACAGCCGTTCATCCCGAAATCCACTGAGCGAATCCGACGCCAATTTCTGCAACACGATAGACTACGTAAAAGGTCGTACGCGCTGTGCCAAATGAGTTGTCAAGGTGATGCATGTTTTGCGTTATAACACTAATACCTCAAAGAATCTTCATAGAACTACTGCAACACACTTGCGCTATTACAAGGGCTGTTCAGAGTATCAAGAATACACCAGCGCTTTAATTGTGCCTAGCGTATCACTCGAGAAGCAATTCGTTGGGTTTATTCCCGAGGGCAGGCGTCGAAGCAGGCACTGTATTCGATGCGAACGGGATCCACACCGTCACAAAGGTCGGGACGGCTTTAAGCTCTCCCATAGTAGAGTACTCTGTGCTCTAAATCGTTACCCCCTTTTTTCTAACCACCCCCCCCCCCCCCCTATTCCCGAGTGGTATAAGCACACTATAGAATAGGGACGGCATTATGCTCTCCCATAGTAGAGTACGATGTACTCTAAATCGTTAAACACTTTTTCTAAACACACGTAGAGTGCCTAGTACTCTAAATCGTTACCCCCTTTTTCTAAACACCCAGAGTAAGGTACAGCTGGAGTTTCCAGTTGTTCCGTACTAGCCATGAGCCACGCAAGCATGAGTGGCGTTCTTTAAAATGTGAGCAATTTGGTCCATGTTAAGTTTTCCTTAACTTGTAACATTCGGACACAACACAGAGATTAATTAGATTTTAGTGCTCATTTGTAAGATGTATGCACTGTCTTTACTTGCTTTCTATATCTCGTTTGTGTATGTACAAGTTACGCGTAGAATAAAACTTCCCTTTTTTGATCTCTATATTTAGGGGTTTTAAATCCCCTTGAGGGATTTGACACCTGTTTTGTTGAATCTAGCAATTTTTGCAAGGCTTTGTACACGTGACCATACGTGGCCTCTTGCAACTAGAAATAATGTAAAATATCATAATTTAGGTTATTTCATGTTTCTTTTTTCTATTTAGGGAGTCTTGGTGTTCTTCTGATGGACTATGTGAAGGGCATGACGGTTTCGTAACGTGAGATTATTCTAGTCTGAATACTGGGGAAAACTAAGCTATGAAGTCGTACGAGTTATGCACGCGCATATCACGAGATCCCCGAGTGACTGCTGCACTGTTAAACAGATAAATTTTGCCTTGTAATGCACATAAACCCGTCTTAAGATTAAGCTCACTGCGTGGCTTCGCTGAGCAATGTCTCCGTAAGAAACAACTATAAGGAATTTTAGAGAAAGGCAGAGTGAAACTAGGACTGAAGATTTGGTAAGGTGGTACGGTTTCAATATTGCGGAAACGGTGTGATGAAAACAGACAAGGAGAGCTGTTTCAGTTTTTCCGTCATGCCCTTTACACGATATCAGAAAAGTGACGAACATATTAAGCCAAACGGGGAGCTGATCTAAAGTGCGGAGGAAAGGCGTAGCGATTAGCTCGTATAGAGCGTCTACTTACATCGACTGAAAATAGTGCGACAGCGATTGAAAATGGGAAAAATTAAGGATAGACCACGAGCTGTTAAGCTGCAACGACAGGAAAGGCGCTACAGACTTGCGGTTGATCCTAACGATCACATCTATGTCTCTAATGTTTGAGCAAAGCAAAATGGACGTGCAAATCTGGCTCGGTGGCAACAGGTGCCATTTGCAAGCACATTGTATGCAACTCCACAGAGAGTGTGGTAAAAAAAAAAAGATCTTAAATGATGGTTACTGATAATTTTTATTTTTAACAAGATTCAGAACTTGGCGACAGAGCGCACTATAATATCTTAAAACTTTGCCAAGAGTCATAGAGCCAGAATAATGACACTAAAATATAATCTAAAGCTTTTTCTTGCAATATAAGGATTTTTCGAGTGCCATTATAGGGATAAAACGTCTCCTTGGGTTGGCATCACTGCGCGGTACGTTCAAGTCTAAAAGCGTCGAAGGGACGGTGTTCAGCTCTCCCGTAGTAGAGTACCATGTACTCTGAATCGTTAACCGATTTTTAAGAACACAGGCAGACGTAAACCGGGACAGCTGACGGCTCTCCCATAGTGGAGTGCGTATCGTGCTCTGAAGTGTTCTCAGTTTATTCTAAACGCCGTCAACCGGGACAACTAACTGCTGTTCCATAACGCGATGCTTAAATTACCCTTGATCGGGAACCGATTTATTATAAACAATGTCGGACGTAGTTAAGCCGTTTATCAGTCGGTGTCGTTCCGGGGAGGATGGGGGGGGGGTTTAATTCTTAAGCGTTCTTGTCATACAATGAAGGAAGAATCGAACGGAAGAAAAAGGAGGAGTCGCACTGTACTGGTTGAGACCATATATGTGACGGTGAAGACGCGAGAATAGCCACGTGACGGGCAAAAACCGGGCGGAGGTCCCGTTCTATCCATAGAATGGGCACAGTGTACTAGTACACTCTAGAATAGGCACAAAACAGCCCACGGACGACGTGGATTGGATTGGAACGCGAGCTCTCGAGCCCGAAGAATTTAATTTGCCCGATTAGTGACTTGCTTACGCCAATACCGCGCTGATGGTTTGTGGAAATCGCCACAAAAAAACTAGTCAGACTGCGACGCCACCTAGCAGGCCCTGTAGCGATCGATACCATCGATGTCTGAGAAGAAAAAAAAAGAGGGTGCGCAAGGGACCTTGACAGTTCTTCTATGACAGTGTGTAGGTGGATGTGAGGCGTCCTCCTAGGCCGGGTTGCTTAGCTGGGCGTCACCAAGCTCAAGATTGAATAATAATAATAATAATAATAATAATAATAATAATAATAATAATAATAATAATAATAATAATAATAATAATAATAATAATATTTTAACACTACGGCATAATATTGTTCAGACGAATGAGAGCTCTCATCCTGTATACAGCCTTTTGAACTCATGCAGAGCCAAACTTTCTCGCCTTAACACGAATTGACCCTGCCTGCCTACTTCACCACCAATCCATAGGCGACCTGTTTACCTTTCCAATGTTGTCCCTAAATCCCAAGGGTAGGCTAGTTTCCAAACATGCAGCTGAGAGGGTGCCCTCACATTCAAGTTATCAGACCCCGCTGTTTCCTTACCTTCCCCGCGCATTCACGTTTCTCTTCTGTACGAAATCAAGCTTTATAACGATGCGTACAAAGACAATCCGACCTCGCTTCAAACAGCAAATCACACATTTCTTGAATTATCGCATTGTGTACGCTCGTTTATTTCCTCCTTACCCTTTTGTTAGTTACACATTTCCTGCTTTCAAACGCAGCTATTCAACACATCTTTTCCATTTATCTTACGTCACGCTTATCATTCTTTGTCACCATATCGCTTACATTGCTAGCCATATACCTGCAGGTAAGTATAGTCCTTTTTTTCATTAACATGAAATTGTTTCATGTCGAAGTCTGCCACGGCTCCGCTGACGCATTTCTGTCACGGATTATGACGCTGTAAATATATACTATCAAATCGCACAGAAAAAAAAAACAATAAGGAAATGTTCTAATGCGGGACATCGAACCAGCGGCCTCCCGATCCGCATCGCGCGGCGTCAACCACTCGGCCACGAAACGCGCGTTTGTTGACTCCCTAACGGCAAGCTATGTATATACTCCATACACCGTTTGGCGATGCGCAGTGGTCTGTAAATTAAGGGCGTTTTCGTCATCAGTAGCGAGATTGCGCGACGTGATCGCGTTGGACGTGCTCTCGACTCTCGCGTTTTGTCTCGCGTTAGGCCCGCTATAAAGGTTGTCGCCTCTCGCGTTTCGACGAGCGCCGCCTCAACGGAGCGTGGTCTCTCGTGCGCGCGCGCTTATCAGACTCCTGATTCGGGAAAGCATGAAGGTCACTTCACTCGCTGCCACGGCCACATTTATTAAAGGAGCGCGCTGCTTACACGCGCAGAATTGTGGTAGTTGTGCGCGCTTGTCCTGTGTATATTTGTGCATTCGGTTCGTGCGCCTTTATTTCTGTTTGAACAGCACGCTTTAAGTGTCGAGCTGTGACAGCTGTTAGCCTGTGCTCGCGCTGCGCATGCTGATTTCGTGCGTGATTCCTGCTTAAGGTGCGCGCTGCAAGTTTCACGCAGACTGCCGTTCGTTTCGTGACTTCGCAATTTGTTGCTGTAGCATTCATTACTTGGCTCTTTCGGCGATACTATGCACAATAAACGCTTAGGTACCACTGCGACGACACGTTTCGATTTCGTGTTATACCGCTTCCTAAAGAGAGGGATCAGCCACGTTTTTTTGTCTATCTCTGAGTCGACCCTCTTCTCGTAGTAATACCAAAACGCTTTCTCTTCGCATATACTGTAGTTCACGCTACTTATCATCTCGCAGTTTTTTTTTTGAACCAGCTTTCAAAGTAGCTACCAACTTCAGCGCCGCTACACGTCTGCATGTAGTACAGTGAAGTGTAGTCTGTATTTTTTTATTGTTACGTACCGTTGTTCTATTTTTTTTTAAAAGTTGGGATGATTAAAAAAGTTTTGTTGGTTAAAGCAGGCTAGTTTTGACTGTGGCATAGGGTGCTTCTCAAAAATTGGTTGAAAACAATGCCCCGGTTGGCTGTGAGCGTTTATGAAGTATAAAATTCTGTGGGGCTTATTATATTTACCATTATTATATCATGTTCCAATCAGCAGATCAAAATGAACTGAAGAGAAGGGTTCAAATGTTTTAATCTATAGTGGGTGGAGAATATCGTAGGAATTTCCTCGTGATTAGCGCACCACTATGGTATTGAATCACTCCGACTCACTTCAGCTCTTGATGGGGCCCTTGCATCGGAGGTCGCTCTTGAAGGCCGCATCCAGGTAAACTGGAAGGTGGCAATAGAAAAAAAAGGAAAAAAAAAGCGATGTCATGATACAGCAAACAGTCGAGCCTTCCAACCAATACACGGCAAAACAGGAGAGCTTGCCGCGCGCGTTAAATTTGACGTGGCCTGGTTTTGCGCCTTCGGTACCAGCCCGCCTTATTTTAGTATCCCGGCAGAACATGCAAGTAATCCGTAAAATCATAGCGTTTTGTAGGCGAAATTTCTGCAGTGCTTTCTGCAGATTCCTGTAATGCGAAATCGCCGTACAATCTTATTTGACGCAATTTTTCGCTGCATTATTTAGTTATTTAAATTTCGCTGATGATTGCGGCAGTAAATTACATGTTTGTAAATGACCACAAGTGTTTGCAATCGATTTCTACTTATTTCGTGCTAATAAACATCAAACTTCAATTATGTATTGAGTGAACTTCCACGGGATTGGCCAGATGGTGATTCCGTTCCCCTCTACGCTACCATGACTCGAACCAGCCATTACTATTTTTACTTAGTTATGCAGAATGATATTTCGAATGATGAAACTTCTAATGAGAACGCCTTGAAATAGGAAGGTAATGTATGCATACTCGCTTTCTTTCAAAAGGTGCCTAATAAACTTCGCAATGCCTGTCTTAGTTCAATGAAGCGATATAGTATGTATTGGTTCCGCATTCGGCGGTTTACGTATAACGGTGACTGCGGCATTGTGTCACTTGTTCTTTGCACTGCGTAGAAATGAGTACAACCACGAAGGTAGCAGAAACTCCTGCGTTACGAACCATTTAGAATTAAGCCCTCAATGCGTTTCAGTTAGCTTTTCTTCCCTGGACTCCGGCAACATTGTGTATCTTGTTTGCAAATAAAAAGCCGATTCTGCTTTAGGTAAACCTCGCTGTAACGAACTCGCATATAGCCTCATTATACCAGATATTAACGCGAGTATAAAGCTTGAATATGTTATATAATTTTATATTTATAATTATGCATTGGTATTAATTGTATGCGAGCTATACTGTAACGTTAACGAGACAAATTTTCGTTACTACGGCATACGCGACAATTTGATCTTTGTTCGTTACATCTATATTTCAAAAAACAGAGTAACCATTGCGAGCACTGAATTTCTAACGAAACAGGGAGAGAAAGAAACTGAAAAGCAAACGCCCAGCCCATTTCTCTGTGTTAGCGTTTTATATGAAAAAGTATGTCAACGTCTAAGTACAGATGGTTAACCAACGAAGCTGACACATGCGGCCTCGTTGCTCAGCACTCATCACGAGTTGGGATCTATCACAGTGCCTTTTGTTGCCGCTTTTGATTTCTCTATAAAAAGATGGGAGCTTCAAACATGCTCCGGAAGGTATCATCCCAACCCTATACATGGCGACAGAACCCGACGAGAAACCAGTGCAAGCGCGAAAACCACTCGAGTTGGCGTATTCTATAGCATTCCTTCTCCCATTAAAGCTGTTGCACACTCACAGACCCCGAAATTTTTCTACCTCCTATCTGTATACACGGCATTCCAAGAAATGTGTCAAAAATTCTCGAAAATTTTGGGAAGTGCGATATTTCTTCGCAGCTGTCACACTTTTTGTTGTTGCGGCAGGAGTTTCAAGATGGTTAAAGACATCGTTTGGGACAGTAAATACGAAGATAAATTAAATTTTCAATTACAGGGCTCAGGTGGTTATGTTAAATTTGAGAATGAAGTTCTTCATGCGAGAAACTCATCGCAGCTTTGCGATGTCAAGTAACGAATGCATCTCTCAATTGTTGTGGCGTAATGAAATTCAAGCGAATTCAACGGTGAAACCGAAGCACCTACAAGCGCAAAAAGTGGATGACCAGAATGACGTCACCGTTCAAAACAACCATTACAAAGCTGTATAGTTCTTGCGCGTTCGTTAGTGCATGTGCGTCATGCGCGCTATAATTGCCAGCGTAGACCACACATTCACACATAGATGTCGGTTCATGGTTCATATAACGACATGGGCTCATTTGGATGGCCGTCTCAGAACAATATGGTAGTCTCTGCGTTTTGATCAGTTTCAGATTCGCGCCTGCATTTGGGCGAATTTCATTACTTAGTAATTACTGCCAGAAGCCGGTTTTTCGACACCTCAAAGTTACCATGGGTCCCTCGCATGAAGACATTGAATTCTTCCATTTAACATCGTCGTCGTAATGATAATTGTCAGCCTGACTACGCCCACTGCAGAGCAAAGGCCTCTTCAGTGTTCCGTTAATGAACCCAGTCCTATGCTTTCTGCTGCCACTTTATACCTGCAAACTCCTTAATCTCACCCACCCTACTATTTTTTGTCTCCCCCTCACATATCTGGCTTCTCTTTGAATCCAGTCAGTTACCCTTGATGAGCAGTGGCTGCCTACGCACTACGTGGCAGGTTCAGCCGTGACTATTTCTCATTGATTTCAACTGTGATACTGCTAACCTACCTTTGTGCCCTGACCCACTCTGCTCTATTCGCGTCTCTCAAGTGTACACCTATGGCATAACTTCTCGACTCTACTGCTTGAAAAGTTGACTAATTAAGCATTTCTAATTACCCTCCCAAATGATGTCTTTAGCCAACTCAAAATGCCTGCGGCAACAGAAGAAGTAATTGTGAAGGCGTCGAATAGATAACGCATTTCCCTAATGTCGAGAATTTCAGTCACTTTTTTTAAAGGCCGGTACATACAACTTCGCTGCAAAAATACTTCCGCAAACCAAAGAAGCAAATGAAAATGCAATATCTTACTGATGAGCGAATTCTGCGCAGGAAAACCTGCAATGCAAAAGGAAATGGTTGAACCCTGCAAGGGCCAGTAAACGTAAGAAAAAAAAAGTTTAAATAGGTTACGAACATCTACGAGTTGATACGAGCTGCACGAGCATTCTGGTTCAACTGACATCTAGCGTATTCTGTAACACGTGAGGTAGGGAGGACTCCATGGTACAGAACTATTATTTAGTGTTAACTACCAAGCAAGACGTATTAACTCGAATTTAACGCAAGTTTTTCTTCCAGATTTTCGCTACGTAATTTTTGCTACGTAATTTTGATTTTTGCTACGATTTTTGCTACGTAAAAATACTAGCGTTAACGCACCTTTATATGTATATACGAGACGGTGAACTCTAATTATAGTGGTCGGAACTCGGCGAGCAAAGGATGCTTTAACGTGAACCACGCGTTTCGACGGACGTGGGAGTCTTGATCAGTCTAACGGTGGCTCCAGGGGAGCTAATTTTGCGGCGTCCACTTCGTGGACATGTCCAATTCGACCTCCCCTGATTGGCTGGAGCGCGCCGCCTGTTTTTCCGTCTTTCTTTCGCCACGTCGTTTTGATAACACGTAGCTTTCACAACTCTCGACACAAAAGAAAAAGATGGAATGCGTTTCGCCACAACGTATACTACACCCAGAGATATGCTTTTAGACACACATCTCTGAGGCCGTGTATGAACTCAAATCACGTTAGCCCTTGAATTAGGTTTAACATGGCCACTCAACCGACGCCTCTGGAAGGTCTGTACCAACGCCTCCTAGATTTCCTGTGCCTGCCGGATTATCGGCGGTCACTTGGGAAGCGGTGGTCGTCGGAACGACGGTGGTGGCGTCACTCAAGTAGGGGTGTCTTCAAATAAGTTTTTACGTTTTTGGAGCTTATATGCAACAAAGATACCATAAAAAAGTTTCAAAAGGGCGTAAACGTAATTATAATTAACCCTACGTAAGTGATGCTGTCATTCAGCAAGCAACATTTTAAAAACAAGGCATCCTCTGAAATTAGTCGCAAACGCCAAAATTGCCAATCTCAAAGGCCAAGTACAAAGACCCTTACACCTACGTAGGCAGCGCTGCCATAGATGACCGGCGTTTCGCGCTCATCCGGCAGGCACAGGAAATCTAGGAGGCGTTGTCTGTACACATACCCTGCATCGCTCTTCAAACAGCTCAACACGTTCATACGCACGGTAAGACTTGTCAAGTTTGTCTAAGAGTCCTGTTATTCTACATTTCGTCCACTTGGTTGTTTTTTTCTTTTACGCTGGAAATGTGCTGGCGGATTCGGTTCGCCTACGTGGTCAAGAGCGTCATGACGTCATGATGCACCGGTTTTTTCGCATAGCTGAACGCGTTCTGGTGAATCGGACATGTTCACTAATCGGACACCGCGAGACTAACTCCCCAAGCCGAAAGTTACTCTGTTCAACCAGTGAGTACTCCTAACTCCCTTTTGTTTATGTGAAGCGTTTGTTTCGTTCCGAGTTCGTCAATCCACTTCTTTCGTTTTTCGGTGCTGCCCTCTCCCGTTTCGAAAAGGTTTTGGTTTGGGCTAGGTCAACCTGTATTGCTAAAAGCATAGCCTCCGTGACAAAAAGACGTTTGTTTCGCGACTTTTCCGCTATAGACGGTTTCGGTGTTTGTAAACAAACTGGCTCCCACCGTACGACCTACCCCAGCAGATTTCCGGTGCGGCTCTTCCGGCAATGCTGTTTCAAGATCCCGGTGGTGTTTTCGTGGCGTGTTTGAGTTTGCTGCTCTATGAATTTCTCGCGCATTTCTTAAGATGTGTTTGGAGCAACGCCTATAGCGGCTACATGAAGGGGCTCGATGTAGCGCACGGCTCGCGTGGCCAACGGGCGTCTTGCAAATTATACGTCGTGGCGTTTCAATGAGCGCGGCCCCCTGCTTAGTGTGGCCTGCTCTGCGAGGGGTCATGCCTATACAAACAGATAATGCATACATTGCAGGAGACGTTTGTCAGCGATCCTAATTGAGCCAGTTGGTTCTGCATGCCTAAGATGTGCATGCGCTTTGAAGACGCAGACCGGGAATTGAAAACGCACACATGTATCTTCCCTGTCCGTGGCTTCAAAGCGCACCCCCGCCGTCGACATGCAGGAGAAGATTCGCTCGCTTCATAGTGAAGTTGTTCAATCCAGCTTTTCTACTGGAACTTCAAACCTTCCTCCTGTTGAACCCCGAACATGTTTGCGTTTTCGTCTAAGCACGCAACCTCAGGATAAAACGCTTATTTCTGCATCTTTGTCACACCACACTTTTTGAAGAGATCAGCGGCGATCAGAATCGCTCGCAATCTGACGTGTTTGTGTGACTGAGAAATCATAAAATGCACTGATGTGATAAGTTAACTGCGGCTGCAGGGTCACACGAAATATCATGGTTTACACCCGAGTAAGCTAATCATGAATTAAACTTTCAAGTCAAACCTACCAAAATATACAGTCTATGTTCATACCCAAAATATAAATTAGCTTGAAAGCGGCGATGCTCATTAGTGACTAAAACACACGCGATGAGTCATATTTCTTCGCACAGATGAGAGCCCACTCGACGGCATCACTTAAAAAAAATCAAGCGCAACGACAATGAAACGTGGACACCACGACGTACATGTTGTGCGACGATTCATGTTAAGCGCGGTTACTTTGTGTCCCGTGTTGTGTAGAACAGTAGTACACATCATTGATATCGATCAAACGACAAAATGAACAGCTTGGCGATTACTTTTCAGTGTTAGCTTTCACGTTTTGATACCCATTTCAGGAGTCAGTGCACTTGTAGCCACGGGTGGAAAAGGACATGCAGCGACCGGTGTGTTGCCGGTAACCGTGAACCTTCGACTAGTGTAACGTCAGAGCATCGCCTCTGTGCCATTAGTCTGGGCTGAGCTTTACATTGCCTGTTATGAAGTGGGCAGGACAAACCCATGTGCTCTTAGCGGGAATCCTGTTTTAGATGCGGAAGCATCTTATACTCGCGCCTTGTAGTGCGCCGTCCGCGCCGTCCGCACCGCTTCTCGAACATTCGACAGCTAACGCGCGCGCATGCGCCGTCGCGCCGTCGCCCACCATCTGTGCCGCGCGCGCTTCTCCTTCGAGAACATTCGACAGCTGACAGCGCATGCGCCGTCGCGCCGTTGCCATCTGTGCCGCGCGTGCGCTTCTCCTTCGAGAACATTCAACAGCTGACAGTGCATGCGCCGTCGCGCTGTATATATACTCAAGGTCGGCGCTCGCTCGCTCAGTTGCCGCTCGTCGGTTGGTTTGTACGGCGCGTCGACGTCCAAGGTCGCGGTGAAATGAATTCCAACGAATCCACAAACACAATGATCGACGTCCCTTCGACCAGCGCCGTCCTTTCGCATACGTGTGTACGTGTTCACTCATTTAACACCCCCTCCTACAACCACGTTCACCAATTTAGCCATCGACCCAAGTAAGTCGCAATTTAACACCCCATTTCACAACCACGTTAACCAATTTAGCCATCGACCCAAGTAAGTCGCACTTTAACACCCCGTTAACCAATTATATGGTCCGCATCCTCCTCAGTGTTCCCCCGAGGGAAGCTGCGGGCAATTTTTTTCTCGCGTGATCGCTGCAATGCAGGTGCTCTTAATCACTATCGGTCAGAAAACAACGTTTTGACTAGCATATAAAATTTATTCAGGCATTTAGATCCATCCTGACTTGACACAGCTGTGCTCGAGTTGCCAGCGCTTCACGGGAATAATTTTATCTGCATAACAAATCTGAACACTAGCAGCCGCGGCCTACAACAAATGCTAAAACCACGCAATAATAAGCTAAACCGGAAGTTTTCAGGGTGATTTTTCGGTGAACGCACAATGTTGCTAGAGACCAGCAGGCTCTGGCGAAACCGTCTATAGGCCAAGGGTGCATGTGCCAGGGCGCAGTGAAAAAGGCGGATTCTGTATAATACACGTTTTCACTTACGCTTATGTCGTCAATAAGGCTTAAACTCTTTATCTGACTGAAATCGATATTGATTTGCGAATTTCGCGTGGTCACAACGTGAGTAAATGTCAAGTGGGAGCACTAGTAGAGAGAGGGCACGGTGCGGCTTCTATAGGACATGAACTACTACGGGAGAGGAGGGTATAGTGGAGGGGGAGGGTGTGCACCTGTCCTTGTCCGCGTAGTCGGAGCCGGCGGGGGGCCTCCCGGCGAGGGGCTGGAGGTGGTCCCTGGTCGGAGGAGGGGGACTGTGCAGGGACGCAGGGGGGTACGGGGGGAACCCTTCCGGCCCGCCCCTCGAGAAGTCCACGGGCTCCGTCTGCTCCTCGGGACCAGCGCCGCGATACAGACCACCGGCCTGGTGGAGCGGCTGGGGGCCACCCAGCGCCGGGGACAGACTGCGCCGCAGCGTCACACGCGACCGTTGTTGCGCCGAAACACACCACGACGCCCACACACACGGTCTCCCGCCATACTTCGGCCCTCGTGAAGTGCACACGTTAAAACAGGTCTTCTACAGTCGGTTACAACTTTTAGAAGTCAGCGTCATTTCCTTCTCAAAGGCGCATGCAAACAAGCCATAGGCCTGTACTCAAGACTGACGTCATGAGCGGGACGGCGTCGTTGACACCGCCTGCAGTGATCGGCTGCCGCGTTTTGGTCATCTGCGCTGGGCCTCGCCTGACTTCTTAAGTTGCATACGACTATAGGTAACTGGATCATTTCCGAAGCCAGTTGCATTCTTTGGAGTATCCTTGCGTCACACAGCGACAATCATCATTTAGCTTGCTTCTAAATTTAAGGTCTAGCTGTTTTTCTACTGGGAATGCTATGCTACGTCGACAGAGGGCGCGCCATTGAAGATTCTATACAGTTGTCCACGTACAGAAGCTTCCTCCATGGAGTGTTCTACATTATTTACCAAAGGGAGCCAAGGCACTGCAACCGCTCAGCCACCACTGGCATGGCGGGTAGTGCATGATTTGCCTATAGCCTTCGCGCTCATTACTTCGAACGCACTCGTGGCTTCATTTTTTGTTTTGTTTTAACTTTCCTATTCGATAGCAAAGTGACTTATGAACGTTGAGAGCCGGTGTAAATTGGTGAGCCTGAAGAAGTCGAAGTGAAGAAGTTGTACTTCGTCATGCGACGAAGTGGCTGGTGACCACACATAGCCGAAAGGACGAAGCTTATTGGCAAATATTTGTACTATCCGTCATTCCCTTGCTGGCTGAAGCGTTATGCATTGCAGCTCCCAGGGACCAGATTTCACTATAGTCTACTGTCATGACACTCTATGCCTTCCTCCATGCCAATTATGGCAGCCAGAGGAGGCAAGTAAGAGAGATGATGATTCTCGTTGTGTGATAACAAGATGCCCCAAGGGGCGCGACTGTATTTAGAGTACGCCACTGCTTAAGCGTCGTAGCAGGTCGTTTTGTTGTGGAAGAAATCGCAAGCTGAAGGTGAAGGACCACAGTGTAAATCAGGTCTTTCAAAACAAACAGGCACTGTTACGTCGCTAAACCGGAATCAGGGAGACCACGCATTGCTCCCGAGGGCCGCAATATGAAGACGCCACGATCTCTCACGCAGAAAAAAAAGAATGTATGGCGTTGGAGCTTCAATCAAAAACACTTTCTCGCGACAGTGCCGATAGCAGTCTTTTTTATGGTATGTGACAACAAATACGTTTAAGACTTTGAAAGAAAAATAAAATGAACTAGAATGGCTGTACCAGGAGAGCAGTCCCTTTCGGTTGTACAAAGCACTACAAGCAAACACTCAAGGGTTGCAATCTTCAGGTATGTTTGAAAGTCCTAATGTCATTCAGAAGATGATAGGCTCGCGAGTTCCGAAACTTACTGAACGTACAGTCACACTTTTCCGTTAAGGACACGAGAACATTAGGCACTGATTGGTGTCTACGCGAAATAGCTAAGCGAGGAAGAACACTGCATAAAAACTAGAACAAGAAAAAAACCTTGCTGTTTCTTTTTTTGTTTTGTGGAAGTTTACTTTGATACGGGAGCACTTTTGTTTTTTATCTCGAATATATAAATGCATTAGATGAGACAGCATAGTGGTTGTCTACGTTCAGTCTTGGCTCTCTGCACTGCTTTTCTGCCACGTGGTCGAGAAACCATCGAACGTGCCAACGTGGTTTGCATACCAGACGTTCGTTTCTACGAATCGATGCTTACCTGTGCCTAGGGACGAGAGGCAGGTCGAGGGCCGGATGTATGTGTCTCACCCCGGACGGGGGAGCGGGCGGAAGGTCCCCGAGGGCCTCTTGCCTCTTGGACAGGTTCACCGCCGCTGTCCCCATGCCAACCACGCCGGGAGGCTGCTCCTTGTGGTTGGTCGCAGAGGTAGAAAAGAGGAAGGCGCACCACACAGTCAGCTGAGACATTCAGGTGCCTCACGTGGCGCCACATCACTGACTCATCGCCCATGTGCTCACTCGCGCTGCACTGTCAAGCTCACGGTCTGACTTGCTATTTACTCAATCTCCGATTCTCTGTCACGTACGTTCATCCGCACATTCGTAGGTTGGATCGCATGCTCAAGCATCTAATCACAGTTTTTAACTTGGCTTATTGTTTCACTCATTTGCTTTCTCAGTGACTCAATCATTACAAATTGGTTACTGTATACTGGATAAGTCACTCACTCACTCCCTGACTCACTCACTCACTCACTCACTCACCAGCGGAGGCGATGGTGAGAGGCGCTGTTTGACCGTGACAGTCATCTGGTCCTTCGGCTTTGGCGCGATGGGTCGGTTCGGGACCGGACTCATCTGCTGCTGCGGCTGTTGGGGTGGCGGGTGTGGTGGTGGCGGCGGCTGCTGATGATGAGGCGGCTGTTGATGTGGTGGCGGCGGTTGATGGTGTTGCTGCTGTTGCTGCTGCTGCTGCTGCTGTTGGAAGAAGTGATGTGCGTACTCCGGAGGCGGCGGCTTGCTGTATTTCTCCAGTTCCTTGGCCAGATTCGTGCGCGGCGTAGTGGTGGGCACGTAACCCGGGTACTTGTAGTCGTGCAACTCCAGCTGCTTCACGTAGCACATGGGCCGCAGAACGCGGTCCGACGGGGCTGCGAGGTCGTAAAGGGTTGGCACCATGGGCTCACTCACAATAGACGAATATACGTACAGCATCATGAGTAATATGGGCGTGACAAATAGACAGCGCACTGCCACTGTCTGCTTGTTACATCCTGTCTTATCTATGTAACGAGTGCCCAGAGCCATGGCATCGGCTGCAGTTTTGTTGAACACTATATAGCGAAGCAGTGGAAGCGTCAGCCCTGGGTACCTTTTCCACTTCGTTTTTAACAGCAGCAGACGGGAATTTGTGATATTACAAATATTACGCGTCTTACGTAGACCGACGCGGACACCATGGCCACAAAAACCAGTCGTGCCTCGGCACTTCAAATAAAGCTCGTCTACGACAGCTGTGCTATTTTGATTGATGTGTCATGGATCTGTCGCGTAACAGCAGCACCCTCAAGCAAAAAAAAAAAAAAAGACGAAAAACTGCCTACCGGGACTGGAGGTGGTGGGCGGGTGTTTAGTGACGTTCTTCTGTTCCTTCTGAGCCAGCTTCTCCATGGCGGCAATGGGGCACCCGGACAGGCTGACCCCGTCAAGAAAGGGCGGGTGCAAGGACAAAGACAAGAACGCTCCCGTTAGTGATAAATGCTAGAAAATCGACACTGCGGTTCATTGTTCGGAGCTCAGAAACAGAAAAGATGGTGGAGGAGGAGATCATCATCATCATTAGAAGAAGCAGCAGCCGCATAACTGCGCCCAATGCAGTTCAAAGGACCCTCCCATGTTCCGCCAATGAAACAAGCTTTGCGACAGATGCACCAATAAAAAATGAAGCAATGTTGTATACTTCTCACAGCAGCTTGCTTTTAGTGCCCTTATTTCCGCGGTTAAAGTTCCGCAGGAACGTAGCAGCTCTAAAACAGTGCAACGCAATGGGCTCTGAGCCGTTATTATTGTCAAAAGGCTCGGCAGTCATAATAGTGCAGTTTAAAGAGTGACGGGGCAGGTACAACCAGGTAAGACAGAGCAAACGCTTGGAGAAAACTTGCCTTCTTTAGATGGTTAGGGGACGCGTTAGACGCGTCATTATCAAGCGTATCCGATTCGCGTCATCACTGAGCAGTGCAACCATGATATAGATTTCACGGTAACCAAGTGTGCAAAAATAAAGGCAGGGGCATAGAAATGACGCGACATGCACAAGCGGTGGTCTCTGTCGCTTCCTTTCTGTGTCCTCGTCTTCATTTGCGCACGCCAGGTTACCTTAAAACACGAACCAACTCGCCCAGCCGCCAGTTTTACTGAACCATGATATAGAATTGTATGATGAATTACAGATGGTCGTTAATGAGGGCATATGAGCTCTATGGTACGCTGTCCGGCCACAACAGCAAGTGGTAATTGCGTAGCGTTGAAACAGACGCTCCTCGACGCCGGAGATGCGTCACAAATACGCTCCATGCATGTGGTAAACGGATAGCAAGTCGAGTTGGCTCTAACGCTGTGGTGTAACGCTGCCAACGGATGAGGATGACGACGAAGGGTTGACTCACCTTCTGTGTGAGTTTCTGTTGCTATTCACATGTCCTCTTCCATTACAGCCAGGAGTGGGGCACCTGACGCAAGAAGGGACATGCATTACACACATTGTGCAAGAAACAGTGCGCGTTCGTGATGGTATAACGTTGATCAAACTGCATATTTTCGCGTGAGAGGGACACGACATAGTGCAAGTAGTGGCGAAAACCACGTCGTATGTTTGGATATTCCTAATAGATTAAAATGTATAATATCGGTGCCGCGTTCGCGCGTCAGTGCGTGGCTCTTGCAGCGCCCCCTTCTCTATGGAGAAATAGCGCGAGCGGCTACGCGAACCTGCGCGCCATCTCTCTCTACAAGAAGAGGGTACGGCGCCGCATTGAAAAGTCGCGCGACTGACGCGCTGCAGCGCGTATGTGTGGTCAAGCCTTAAAGGGACCCTGAAACGCTTTTTTGAAGTTCTGTCAGCGTTTAGGCTAGAGCATCATAACCATTCGCAACACAGATTTAGCGACATGCCGTGTACCGAGGAAGCGCTACGGACAATTATATCATACCCCCCTCCTCCCCTCTGCCTAGCCTCCTCAACTCATGAGGCACGCTGGCATCGCTGGCGATCGCGGCGCTCTCATGAGTGCACTCGACGATTCGAGCTTCACTCAGTCTAGACCTCCGAGATGGTGCGCTGACGGGTTGCGCACCGTCTCGGAGGCTATCACACAGTGCCGACCGGCAGCACGCATGCCGCCTGGCAACAAAGACGAAGATTGCGGAGTGGTTGATATCTGCTCCCGACAGGTGCCACCACCCTACCAGCTGATTTTACTTTCGCGCATTCTGCAACCAATCATACAAACTGCCCATGTGACGTCGCGTTACTAAATCATGTCGTTCTGTGAATGGGTGGTTGAAAACGCGTTGGCCGAGTCGCAGCAACCTGCAGCAATTTGAAGTTTTAAAGCGGCGTTGTAATAAGTTACAGAGTTTACGCAGAGAGCTGAAATCGGTCTGTGAATGACCATTGGTCGACCTAACCAATGTGTTTGTACAAAATCGTCGAAAACGTCTCAGGGTCCCATTAAAACATCGTAACACCGGCGGATAATACAAGAACATTTTAGGCACATATCGTACGAATTTATTTTAAACGATGTCAGTTATATGTGAAAAAATGAAAATATCTCACTGTTGCAAAATTTTCGTGGACTACGTACTGTAGCAGTCATATATCAGTTTTTGCACAACTACATGCTACACAGCAAGCAAAATAACGTTAGGCCAGTAAGTACAATAGCAATGTTATAAAATTCCGATGGCTTAGCCAGGTGAGGATATTACGTTCCTAATCGATTAAACTGAGCGTGGTGGAGATGAGGGATGTTAATGTGTTTTGGTTGCGGGGATGTATATGGAATATTCTATTTATCAAAACATTATAGCTGTTATTCTAGTGAGGCACATTATTCACAAACAATGCACAGAACAAGTTTTCATCCGCTTGAAGGTGTATAGAATATTTAGAAATCGAAGATTTTTAAAGGATTGTGTGCGCGCTAACCCTGTCAGAAAACTAGTAAAATACTGACATGGCATGTAATCTGAACTTAATTAAGTGTAGAGCATAGTTAGTGTTATTTGTTGTATTTCCCTCATCCTAGTTACTACAATGCTGTCATAAAAAAGAAAGGAGGAGTGTTGCTTATGCCACTGACGTGTTTCGTGTAGGCTTCGCAAGGTGTTGTACTTAACCATTTTTTTTTTCATTAGTGATGCATTACCAGGAGCAAGCTTGCTGGGGCAATAACGACTATAATTTTAAATACAAGGCCGTCAAGGTCATCGTTACAATAAAACAAAACCAAACACAGTTAAAACACACAGCAAAATACTCCACACACAAAAACAGCAGTGCAGAAATAACAAACGCAAAAAAAACACAAAGACACAGCAAACTACGGTGCAAAACAGAAAAACGCAAATGCATGCACTAGGACCTCCGTGCTACCGAGAGCGAACCACGTTACAGTTGCAGCAAAAATAAAGTAGGCCAACTAAGGAAGAAAAAAGCAATGCCGGTATGCGTAGAGCATACAACCAGTGATAGCTTACTTGAGTATTGTTTCGTGCTGTGCCAAAACTGTAAGAGAGATTAGAACGGAGAGAAAGAAAACGTTTGATATCCGTTCAGTGTCGACACAGTAATCAAGTTATAACGAGGAACCGCTAAACACAGCACTAAGTGTAGAATTAAAAGAAATATAACTCTCCGCAGAAGTAGACTATTAGATATCACCGAGACTCGATCTGCGTCATCTGCTACAAAGAGCGCGTTAAGATAACGCTGCTAAACATATGTAAGGTTTGATGAATAGCTTATCTTGTTCACCTAAAATATTGTAAGTTCATGTTTATATTCTACCACACTATTAAACGTTCCCTTCTTGTGATAGCTTCAGTCATTCATCGCGCAGCTCATCCACGTGACGTCACACTACCTTTCAATCACACTTATATACCTTAGAAAGGTTACAATTGCTCAATTTCAATTGAGGACCGTGTTCAACCGATTTAAATACTACAGAACGGGTAACGATACGTTGCCCTGCTGCTCGATTATGCACCGATAGGATCTATACGTAGTTGCATAGCACACAAATCGTTAGGCGTTTAATAAATAAAGAGAAACTTACTTTCGGGTGTAATCTTGTCCTTTCTTGGGCACCCAGACAGGCTGCAAAAGAATATTGAGATATATCTTCACGCCCCCGCTACTTACGTACTCCTGTATTAGGAACCAGGTTGCTAACAGCGTGGATAAGGTCGATAGTTTGAATGGGCCTCCAGGATTACCGCTTACAATCTGGGGTAGATATATCGGTAACCTTGTCGGAGGTGATGGGCTAAGGTTTGAACTTCACGAAAGTTGAATGTTAGGTACGTTTCCAGACGCTGCGAGATTCTGTGGTAGTATGTTGGGTCAATCACTGAGAAATCAATCGTAGCAGCTTTGTCGGTCAACAGGAGATGATCGGATCGGGAATGCGACGCGATGTCGATACACGATGACGTCTAGAATGTCAAACCTCGGCTACAGCGTCACAGACGGGATTGGCAAGCTGGAACGTAAGATATGTGGCGCAGGGAGAGTTGATGTGGGGCATTTTGACGTTATGTGTCGATATTGTGACGCATGAATTTAAGATGCGAGTGTGAAAATACATCTCGGTTGGAAGGCTTCGGCGCGGCGAATGTAATTAGAAATGCCAGCGAGAAGCCTATCTTCTAGACACTTAATGGTGTAAACTTTACGAACGCTCTTATGTATTTATTGACCATCATCTCTTCTTGGAAAGTACATTTCACAATATATTGCTTTTTCTCATCAAAATAATACTTCTCATGCAATTAAACAATCGGAGACACTTACCTTCTATGGTGCGAGTATAAACCTGTCACGTGACCCGTGCCATTGCAACCCGGAGTTGGGCATTTGCTGTCTGCAGGCACAAAAGAAACAAGAACGCCAAAGTTAAGATGGCGGGCACATCTACGGCCAGTCATTGGTAGTTAGGTTGTGTTTTTACTTGTTAAGGCGATACTATAACTGCAGGGATATGCGCCACAGATGAAAAAATGCACAAGACAAACAAGAATTGTAAGCAGGACTCTACATGGAGTTAACTTCACTAAATCAATATATCGCCTGGCTTCCGTGGAAGCATTCATCAATTGATAGCAATCATGCATTCCTGATCTGCACGGCGCACAGTATAAACAAACGTTCATGAAAGTACATGGATCACATACAATTTTTTTATGCAGACACATCGCGTTGGTGCCTGTGTAGCAGCATGTGGGTAAATTATACGAAACGATTGCGCCGATAAACCGAATACATTAGCCAGAAGCCTAGACCATGTCACGAATCTCTATTTATGCGGTATCGCCAACGAGTTTTCAATGGAGTACTGTCTCAACATGCCTCTATATGAGAATGACGTCAATCAGAGAAGGGCACAGGCGCTGCCACCAGAACTGCACATGAAACAATCCAAGTCAGAACTTCAGCGTTGGTATGGCGGTGTGTTACGTCCCAGGTGACGAAGTATATCCACTCGCATTAAGGATATTCCGGTGAAGCCAAGAAGATTTCGAAACTATCCAGGCCGAGCCTTTTGGCTGATTTTGAATAAAACATGTGCTTCCTTACCGATAAGCAAGCATAGCTATGCTGCCACCGGCAAAGTTGACGATCTCATTGCTAAGTAGTGCATACGTATATATAACTATGTACCACTCGGTTAAACTATAAATACCTGGCGGTACCTTTGATTTCTGCCTCTGTTCTAAGTCCTCTTGAGCTCTAACCGCAATGAACGCTTAATTTTTTTTTTTCGCATAAGCCTACTTGGGCAACACAACCTAACCTAACCTTTCTATAATTTGCGTCCCCTACATTCTTAATCAGGTCCTCGTTAATTGCTACATCCAGGAAACCAGACAAAGTGTCCGATTTACTGGATACATCTATCACTTTAAGCGGAACATGATTAGGAGTGTATAGAGGGCGCACTGTACTTCCCTACAAATACTCTACACGATCCATGAATTGCAAGTTTACACTTACCCGGAATCACCGTCGCACTTATGTTGCCAGAGCTTATATCGGGTAGCGCCGAAGGTATGTAGATGCGAAGGAAACACCTTATTTTCGCCGAGGATAGCGCCTGCGCTGTGACTAGGGCAGTGCGTATTGAGGGCTGCTGCTGACCGAACGTTTTCCGAACACCGAGTTTCCCGACTGTAGGCTGGCAAACTAATTGCCCGCAGGTGGTAGACCTAACGACGCATATTTATGGGCCTCCTGTACGTGATAACTTTTGTTTATCATCGTTCATGTTCTGCAAAGACGCTCTTTCCCTTTCTCTCTCTCTGTAAAGGGTTGCAAGAAGCCATTGTCTTAGCGGCAACGGATCTTTGTGCGACCGCAGACGCAGCTGCATGGAGGAGGAAGAGTAGGAAAGTACGCAACTTCGGAAAGTGGACGGGGGAGTCGCATTTCCTCGCAGCAAATATTGTGTTCATTAGTTCTGTCGCAGGCGTATTTTACCTCGAATCAAAGTGGCAAGTCCCGTCTGCACACGTGCCGGATGTTTGCGAGCAGTTCATGAGGCCTGCAGCTTCAATAGGCCATTGTTTTTTGGATATCGCAAAAAAAGCGAGTGACAGGCCTCGGTTGTCGAATATCTAGGCCAACTGTGCACTTATTTAGCTGGATGGTGTTAAGCGGGGTAAGACGGGATTGTAGTTTCACGTACAGCATGAAGCTTGATACAGCTAATCGAGTGCAGTGAATTCGGACGTCGTAAAGTAGCGGCAGCTTTTCGGAAGCAAATTACTGCTTTAGGGCACTCTCAAACATATTGTGTTCCAAATAGAAAGCAGTGTCATACACTCATGAAGTAGGCCTTGTTTTGTGAGTATACGTCTGCGTATGGTCGCTTGGTGTGCCAAGAACAATTTACTAACACAATAGAGAGTTTTAGTACTGCGGAATGGTGCTACGTACGCATCACGCAAGCGCCTTGCGTTACGTGGCGTCGTTTGCCACTAATCGGCTTTTAGTACGCCGTAGTACGCGCGTACGTAACAAGCGTGAGGCGTGTTGCGCCATCTGGTAGATCAAAATAGAAGCACGTGTTGTTGACAGCCAATGTGAGCCAATCCAAGTGTTATAGGCAGATTATGGCCATATTTTAAGCCACAGAGCCGGTCGGTGCTTGCCTTCGATGCCGCCATTTTGCAAAACGAAGTCTCGCGCTGTCGCGAACTTGTTCGAGAGCGGCGCGATCACATCATACGTATCGCACGCACGCATCTCATGCGTGCGTGCGTAGCGGCTGCGTACGTAATGCGATACGTGCGCGTGCGGCCGGCGCATGCGCACTACGCAGAACGTGGCGTCCTTACGCACGCAACGCCGCACGTACGCAGCGTACGCAGTACTAAAGCTCTCTATTGTCTAGCGCAGATACGTACGTACGTACGTACGTACGTACGTACGTACGTACGTACGTATGTATGTATGTATGTATGTATGTATGATGTATGTATGTATGTATGTATGTATGTATGTATGTATGTATGTATGTATGTATGTATGTATGTATGTATGTATGTATGTATGTATAACAAGTCACCTTGCAAGAGAGATCTGCCCCGCACCCCTAAATATTTTTTGTCTCGTGCCCTTTACGGTCCCCGGTCCCATTGTACCACTTCTGTTCCGTATACAGCTGAGAAGCATAGGGCACACGCACACATGTACGCATTCGCGTAGCAGGTCCACACTGCGTAAGCAAGATGTCGATACCTTTGAGCGTGCCTTCGGGCGTCCTCTGTGGCGAGTCCATAAGAGCGGCGTGCGAGCTGGAGTCCTCGTCGTCTTCCTCTTCCTCCTCGTCCAGCCGCAGTCGACTCTCGTCGATCACCAGAGGGTGGTCGTCGTCCGGAAGTGGAACCAGGTGGCCACCGCTTCCGCTTCCACCTCCGCCGTCCTCGCCGTAGGCCGCCATAGGCGGCTTCAGTGACTCCTGCTGCAACGTGGGAAAGCCAGAGGTCGTGAAGACCCTCGTACGCCATCATCACGCACGGTTCAAGCCGTGTTTTCGTATATAGCTTGTTGCGAATGAGAATTGCGGTCATTGTGCCGAATAAATCCAAAAAGATCCGTCGTCATCGCAGTACTGTGCGTCGAAGTAAAAAGGCAGCGAGGTTGGTAGTGAAACCTAGCGAATCTTCATGAAACGACGATGCCATCAAAATGTTTTCGTTGCATTTTCATGTACTATTCCTTAACGTACTGGGCGGTTCAAGTGATGTACGTTCCTACGAAAATAAATTCAGTTCTCGCATATAATGTGCACCTGCCATCAATGGTTAGAATATGTACAGTCAACTACAAAAGTTCGTGGACCATGCCACAAAAATTCGTGGACCATGCCACAAAAGTTCGTGGACCATGCCAAAATGCCTGTACGCGCCACCCATCGGTGCGCCATCTGCTGTCGACAACAGTGCTAGGCCAGAAGCGGCTCTTCTAGTTATTCACTGGCCTATAAATTTTCTGCCGCCGCGTAGCCTATTGTTGGTTCGCATTTCTCATGAGAAGCGCTAATCTGCAGTACGATCGTCACGTTTCTATTTTCATAGCAGAATCAACGATATCACGGCGTGCCTCAAACGGACGGTGTTCTGTTGGCTAGGTAACACATGGTATCACTTCGTGATAAAGATTGCGAAAGATAACAGTTATGCGCATAAACTGCTCTCGAGGCAGAAGAACGCACACGCCAATGCCTAAAAGCACGTCTCGTTTAAAAGTGAAAATTATTTGTATACCATTCAGAAGACAGACAGGTCATACATCAAGGGAAAGATGCGCGTCAGGAGGTGCGGTGCTGTCGATAACCACTGACGTATACAGTGGAAGTGTCGCGGAGAGGCCTTTATGCTATCGTTCTGCACATAGAATGCGGCGGAAGACACAGCGCTGAAGCCGGAAATACGTCATCAAAGTGAATCTTTGGAAAAGTCCTATTTCAAGATATAGGCAAGTGTTAACGGACGCCACGTTCCTTGAGACGCCCACAAATTCCTGTATCCGGTTATCTACCTCGGGGTACCATCATGCAAGTACGATATTATTGGCCCGGTTCATCAATGGTCGGTAAGTGACACGCTTATCCATAGTGTGCAATTAACACTCACCTTGAGCTTGGTCTCTAGCATGGCGTATCTGGCGGCTGGCGGCGGCGGCTCCGGGGCCACCTCAGCCATGGCGGCTGCGCCGAAGGGACCCGCGTACGCCCCGCCCGCCGCCGTCGGTGGGGCAGCAGGAGAGAACTCGCGACGCTGAAGGGTGCAGTCCGAGTAGCGCATCGGCGGTTCCAGCTTGGGCTCCTGCTTCACCTGCATTCACACGCACGCACGCTATCTCTGCCGCACATCAACCGTGAATTGAAAGTAAGTACATAGGTACGGTACAGATAGACGCAAAATAAGAAGCATGGATTGTGCGCGTGTACGTGGACCAAACTTCACCGATTCATGTACTTGCTAAAAAACACGCCAGGCGTGACCGTGGGATTGAGCGGCGTGATCGATGGCGGGGATAATGAAGACTAAGTGCAAGCCAGCGTTATTGGCTTATAATCGTTGCACTTTGCCTTGTGCCCCGTCGATCTGGCACCGACACATGAATGAAGGCCTTGGTTTAAAGACAAAACTGGAGTAGCTATGCGCACTACAAGTGCAAAGACTGAGGAAACAGAGAAGCTGGTGGTCTTTTCCTCCTCGTTTCTCGCCTCCTCATTCACTATTGCCACTTCCGCCTTTCTATATGGTATTATACACCGTCTTGCTTGACTCTCTCCCCGGCTTCTTTCCTTCTTCCTTTGCCTTACTTACCATTGCCATATTGCCATCCTTGCTATACTATTTCATACATGCCTGTTCTGTTTTACCCTCCCCCATACTTTATCTCCGCCTCGTCAGCATCACTTCCCTTCCCGCTACTTGCTATTCCATACTATACATACTATACCACACCTCTACCCCTCCCCCTCATCACTCTCCTTTCCTACTCCTTGCTGTACTATATTACGCATGGCTATGCTATCGCCAGTCCCGTTGAGCTGTGCTGTTGAAATATCTTATGCTGAGAATGATGACGACGATAAGCGGTATCGTGCCGTGCGCGTACCTGCACATGCGGCATTCCGCCGCCACTTCCAAACATGTGCGGAGGCCCGGGCGACGCGAGAGGGGGTCCCCGTGGTGCGACGACGCCGGTCGGGGGACTGCGCAACGCGCGCCCTCCAGCGGCACCGCTGACTCCCGCCGCGACTCCGCCGCCATTGCTGCTCGCCCGGTGGCAGCAGTCGTCGCGATTCGACTCCTCCACCTGCGACAAGGGAAAGAAATAAAAATCGATACTCGGCGTGTTACTTGCAGCACTATTGGCGTTGTGATAACAACATGCACTTCTGTCTGCGTTATCGCCGCACAGCTCAACATCGTATAGTTATTTCTACCGCATCACACGTTTCTTTTCGATGTCATAATCGAATAGCTTTATTGAAGAAATTTATTGCCTCATGAGTAGACTGCCGCCTGAAAATTTTCAATTGACTGATATGTGGGGTTTAACCTCCCTAAACCACCACATGGCTATGAGAGACGCCGTAGCGGTGGGCTTCGGAAATTTCGACCACCTGGGGTTCCTTAAAGTGCACCCAAATCTGAGCACACGGGCCTACAAAATTTCCGCCTCCATCGAAAATGCAGCCACCGCCGCCAGGATTTGATTCTGCGACCTGCGGGTCAGCAGCCGAGTTCCTCAGCAACTAGAACATTGCGGCGGGGCCACAAAATTTGTAGTATCCGTCAAGCACGAGGGAAGTGTTTGAAATTTATCGCGATCATTAAGTGCTTTCTCTCTTTTTTCGAAGCCCGCCATGGTGGTCTAGTGGCTAAGGTACTCGGCTGCTGACCGAAACGCATTTGTGAACACATGCGTTTCGTTGACTCTCAATCTAAAGCCTTGGGCACGGGAGTTTCTGTATTTCACTCCCATCGAAATGGAGTCTTCGTGGCGGGGAATGAAATAGCGCCTTCGTGTTCGTGTTCAACGGCGCAACGGCCGAGTCGCGGAACCACTACGGTGCGTACCAAGCCCAGTGAGGGCCCGGGCTATCAGAACCAGCGGGTTAGGAACGTCTGTAAGCTGACCTTAAACCGCGGCTGATCGACGACGGAGTGTATGGAGGCGCACTCCTCCTCGATCTTGAGCAGGCTGCCGACGTCGTACGCGTCGCCCTGCCGGCCGCCGGTCCGCGCCGACAGCGAAGTCGTGGCGGGCGCCGCGTCGAGCCTGTTGACGACGGCCGCCGATGTGGCGCTGCCGTACGAGGGTGCCGCCCCGGACGAAGACGGCGCCATGCCGCCGAATGCCCCAGGCGCGGCGGGGCTCGAGCACGAGGACTGTGACGAACCGACCGTGGCCGTGGTGCTCGCCACGTCCGGCGTGCCCGGACAGTGGGTCGATGACGAAGAGGAAGACGACGATGAAGACGAAGACAGCGACGGTAGTGCTGTCGCCGAGGACGCGAACGCCATCTGGTTTGTGGCAAGTGAAAAAGTGGGAAGTGTTATTGAACTGACAGCACGTCCCAGCACAAGAGAAGGCCTACATGAACGTCAACGTTTTAGGGCGAATGGCTTAGATAGCCCATTAAACGCGAAAAGAAACCATACATGCTTGGGTGGCGTCAGCATGAGGGATGCTAAAGGTAATCATGTAGTGACGTCACCACATGACGCAAGCATGACTTCACAGGAAGACAGAATATGTGACGTCATCATGGAGTCAACGTATGACTATGTCGTAGTGAAAAATGGACTGACCCCGGAAGCAGTAGACAAGCACGTACGGTGCAGGAAGCTTTGAAGCGGGGGGGGGGGGATAGAAAAACTTGACTGAGAAGTAAACAAAAATGACTTCCGCCTTCGAATTGTCGTAGACAAATGCACAAAGAGCATTACGACACTTCTGTTTGCCATCGCTAAAGAGGCCAACAGTTTTTTTTTTCTTTAAGCCATCCCTCGTTGGGGCCATGGCCAGCATTAGGAAAATACGCTTCAATCAGCAAGCAACTTATCAATTAACCAGTCAATTAAACACAAATTAATTAATCAATAGAAGATGCATTGAAGGATTACGCTTAGTGGATCTGCAGCAGGACAGTCACTGCTACTGTGAGATAACGTATGGCCGAAAAAGATAGTTCACGATGATACGGGGCGCGAAAAAAACGACACACAACAGAGAAGAAGTACACAGACGACGCGCTACTAGCAACTGGAATATCCAAAGGGAGGGGCATGATTGCATCAGCCACCCCTCTATCAGTCTGCAGGAAGGGGAGATAGCTTATCTGCAACGTTACTTATAGGCATGCTGAGCATGTATTTTTAGTTTTTTGGGTTAAAGTTGACGTCACTGCGGTATAAATGGTGTTTCCTGAATAAAATATTCCAGTTGCTAGTAGCGCGTCGTCTGTGTACTTCTTCTCTGTTGTGTGTCGTTTTTTTCGCGCCCCGTATCATCATGAACCAGCACCAACTCGCCCAACTTTTCACTTTACCGAAAAAGATAGGACGGTAGGCCGCCCTGGAACATTTACATGAGCTTGTTCGGACGTCAGAGATAACCATACGTACCAGGAGTAACTATAAATCGAAGGATAGATAACCTTGCAACTCACGACATCTTCGTCTGGGTAAAAGCAGCTCGAATGCAAGCTGCTTCATTCACCAACTCACAGACATCCAGTGGGAAAAGGATGGCTCGAAGTGAGCGGAGCACACGAGGAGCAAGCCTTATTGTCCCTTCGTCCCCCACCTCCCCCACCCTTGAAAAGCTGCTCCTTGCACTTGGCTCGCCTTCGCTGGTCATGACAAAGGCCAAGTCACCAACGCGCAGGTTTGACGCATACGATGGCTGGCAGTGATGTAGCCTTGACGCAACAGGGCTAAGGTTTTGTTGCCGAATCCACAACAATAAATTTAGACAGTCAGTTTACGAGTTAGTGGTAACCCAACTTTCTGCCAAAAGGAAAACAAAATATATTCCGTGCATGTTTGTCGTAGAGGGCACAATTAAATCGACGTTCCCCTTCGCAGTGTCAATACTTTGAAAGTCTACCACTGAGCATGGCGCACCTGTCCAGCTTCAGGTGTGGGAACCCTGGCGCCCCTCTCGGCGTGGTGACTGTCTTCGTCGGCGGCATCCTTGGCAGCGTCCCGGTGGCGACCCGATGACGCACTGGGCGGCGTCAGGCCGTCGCCGGTGCTGCTGTCGGCGCGGCTCATCTCGGTGTCCATAGACTCCTCCTGCTCTCTCGCCACCCTGCACACGAGGAGGCAGAGGTGAATCTCGGTTGCGCTTTCGCAATCAGTGGTTCGCCTATTACGGACACTCGCCTTTCGAGTGGCTCGGTGTTGCACACTCGCAAGTGGTCCTGTTGCCATAGCGGCCAGTGTGGAACACTCGCGAGTGTACCGCACTCGCCGTAATAGCAACAGGTGGCGTTGACTGAAGCTCAAGCCTAACTACGCAAATATATACCCTATGAAGTGGATGGAGGCATGAATGCCACCCTGGCTCAAAAGTAGAGCATCGTTATTCGGATGTCGCAGGTTCGGATCTTGCCGGTGGTAAGTTAATCTTTTCGTACACTTTTATTTCTTCACATATGCATTACAATTACTTCTAATAACAACCCCTATATTTTCCTTGTCATTATTGCGTGTTACTTCTCATTATTGTGTCTAACAAAAAAACTAGCCCTTAAATTTACACTTTTGCTTTCGACTTGTTGGAACATAGCATATATTGTGGTTTGGTGAAAAGGTGATGCCATGAGTGGAGAAAATTTCCCCGACGCTTACGATACTGGCCAATGAGAATTCTGAGCGCAACTTCGTGTTGGAGCAGGGCCAAATATGTTTCTATTTTTGACTTTCCACAATGTATCGACTACGCCATAAACTTTGCGAAGTAAGAGAAAACCCATTACACCATTTTTCATCTTTCTGCGGATAAGCGAGGTACCCACCACCCACCTGTGAGGTATTATGAGCATTTTGTTCATACTGCTCATCGCCGATTACGATGAATTATGGCTGAGCATTTCGCACTAAATGGTAAGCATCACACCTTACATTCGTTGCGCGATAGTCATTGTGTGGTGACTGGCTGTTCTGTTTATTCATTCGCCACGATACAGTATATAGATTAACGCGATTCATTGTTAGACATGGCGCCTGCGTAGGATTTTTTTCTTTTGTAAATGAGCTTCAAGCATCAGGGTAGCTTTGTAATAGAATACACAAGTACCATGCCGACGGCCCGGTTTATTTTTTTTCTCATTATAAATCTCTCGCTTATCGGTCACAGCATCGACAGCGACGGCGACGGCGCTAACACAGGAAAGGGCACCTAAGTAGCTGCGCTCTAAAACTCAAAGGACCAAGGTTTTGTAAAATTACAGTCGTGCTCAATTTGACTTGCAACACGGTGTCTGTACTCAAAACGTTGCCAACACTACAAACTGGCCCTTGCATAATAAAAAAAATGGCGAAATAAACCATCTCAGTTAGCGGTACTACCTGAACCGATTTGACGTTTGTCGGTGTCATTATTCAAACTTGGGGCCACTCTAACCACAGCCAGCGTGTTCCAATTCATTCTGAGCGTGACTGTACGTCCTAGTATGATACAAGTGCCCCGCTGCGGTGGTCTAGTGGCTAAGGTACTCGGCTGCTGACCCGCAGGTCGCGGGTTCAAATCCCGGCTGTGGCGGCTGCATTTCCGATGGAGGCGGAAATGTCGTGGGCCCGTGTGCTCAGATTTGGGTGCACGGTAAAGAACCCCAGGTGGTCGAAATTTCCGGAGCCCTCCACTACGGCGTCTCTCATAATCATATGGTGGTTTTGGGACGTTAAAACCCACATATCAATCAATCAATAGTATAATACAAGTATTTGACGTGAGGGCGCCGAGCAATGACGTCGTAAGGAGAACACGACGACAGCAGTGGTGTCGGGTCACGCTTCGTCCCACGTTCTAGTGTGTACGCGGTGGAAGCGGTCGAGCGAGCAGACTGACAGGTAGTGAAAGGAACGGCGCTTGCCCCGTACATGCTCTCAAACTTGACCGTGAAGTCATCAAAGGGCACAATGATCCTGCTTGGCGCACACTCCAGCTGCCTCTACACTTTCGCACTCTACTGGACATAAACATTTCGCATGTTCTGGTTTACACGTGTGCTGAAAAAACCGGTACGACAGCAACCTCTATGCGTTTCATAATTTGGAAAAGCTACCAGAAGGAGGCTTCTCCTCATAAAGACTGTTCTTGTGGAAAAGCCATAGGCAACAGACACCTGTCAGTTTATGCAACAAAGCGAGACACTTTGCGGAAATTGGCTTTTGTCCCAAAACATGGCGAGCGAAAGCCCGAGTCTCAACTTCGTATGCCTGTCTGGGGTTGTAAAGTGCATCATAAAATTACTAGGCAGACAACCGTAGAGAAGCAGTTGGTTTCTTCAGAATCTTACAAACCAAGACTTGAAGACAGTTTAGAATTCTGCTGGCGCTTTGTCCCTGGCGCAATGGCTTTAGTAAGCTTGTAGGCTTGTGTTCTCTAGTTAAGCACCGAAGCGCAATAAACAAAGGCATCATAACTTAGGCTGGTACATTCAAACATTTATGTTGCGGAAACAACAGGGCGAGGAAGCAAGATATTTAAGCGAGATGAAGGCATCGCGGTACGAGTTATTCAGTCATGTCATTCACGAAACCCATCTTCGAACTCGACGCTGGTATCAGCCATAAGCTGTTAATTGACTTACGTACTGCCGGTACGATGCTGTCTCAGGGTGGGCTGAGTTGCATAAACGCATGCTCACGCTCAATCGCGCTCATTCATCTCGTGGCAATGTTGTGGAACGTGGCACTGTTCTCAAACTGCAACGTTCTCCTTGCGCTAATGTCCGCGAATGAATAAATAAAAATTTCGAACTGGTTAGACATACGATAAGTTGGGTTCATCACGAAAAGACCTCAACTGCACATCGTGTCGCTGTCGATTGGGTGTCTCCAGACGAAAAGCGCGTACCTTGGCGTTGATGCGGCCGGCTGGTCTGGGCTCGAGTCCGGCGGCGACAGGGGTGATCGCATAGGCGAACCCCCGGGCACGCTTCCGTTGGACGAGGACGAGGCACTGAGGGTGACCACGTCCTTCCACGAGTTGGCCACGGACTCGCTGGTGGCCCTGTGCTGCTGGTCGCTGGGCGATCCCTTGCTGTCGCTCTTCTTGTCGAACAGGTTCTCGAACATGGGCTGCACGTCGCCGCACGGGGACTCGTCCTCCGCCTGCGCCAGTAGCCCGCCCGTCAGGCTGCGAAGCGCCGCCTCGGCCTCCAAGATGCGCCGAACGTCTTCGTCTTCGGCTGTGGCTCCGCCAGATGCCGCTGGCTGCGGCTGTTGCCCCTGTACGCTGCTGAAGTTGCTCGAGGGACCGACGGAGCTGCTTCCGTTGTTGCCTCCGCCCTGTGCACCGTCCGTTCGCACCACTTCCGTCTGCACAGACTGCGGAGAAGAAGACGGCGTTGGAACCTGGGAAAAAAGAAAAAAAAGTGGAGAAGAAGTCGAGATAAACGGGAAAGAATGTGGTGGAGGATAATGGGGATGAATTGCTGAAAGTGATTTCAAATTGAAGTAGTCCGTTTCAATTTCAAAGTAGTCCGTTTAAGCGCGTCTCGTAACGTTATGAAAAGTGACGGAGACGCACCATCAGCGTTTCGTGTGGACGCAGACGCCGCCTAGCGTTTGCGGTGACCGTAAAAAGGCGGGACTTTCTCACGCCTTCAAAAACGCGAAATCGAAACGAATAAATTGAATGAATTAGGATTATCTTAATGGTGCGAGCTGCGTCCGGTCTTCAATAGCTTCACGTAGAAAATAAAGGAGGAATTTTAAATGCGAAGCATTTCTTAGCGAACTTCGGCGACCTTGAGCGTATCTATCTATCTAGCCGCCTACGACATTTAGCTCTCCTCGCCGTTTCGTTAATGGTATCGATACCAAACTTCGTATGGCATAACACGACTCTATGAAGAACATATTTGACTAGTCATAACATGACAACCATGACATGTTTATGTCTTGAATGTCATGATTTACATTTCATGGTCCCGCAACTCTTGCGGTGGTTCCGTTCACATGGATGTTGCAAAATTGGTATGGTAGGACATGATTGCATGGTGAACGGAAGTGACAGACCCTAACATGAAAATTATGACATGCGTGTCATGTAACATTATGACTACATGCCGCACTTATGATGCGCTCACGGCCGTTTCGCTAGCGTCACTTATACCAAATTTGGTATTACGGTACGTGAATCGATGACGAAGGTATGTGACTGGTGAAATCATGATAATCATGAGATGCGTATCATGTAACAACATGGCTACATGCCACGCTCATCATGCACTGGAGGCCGTTTCACTTGTTTCATTTATACCAAATTTGGTATTACGGGACGTGAATGAAAGACGATGGTATGATACTGGTGCAAACATGATAAACATGAAATGCGTGTCATGGAACAACATGACTACATGCTACGATCATGATGGGCTCGCCACCGTTTCGCTAGCTTCACATGTAGCAAACTTAGTATTACACGACGCGAACAGACGACTAATGTACATCACACATCCAAACATGATAATCACGACATGCGTGTCATGTAACAACGTGACTACCTGCCACACTGATGCGCTAGTGGCCGTTTCGCTAGCTTCAGATATGCCAAATTTTGTGTTACGTGATGCCAATGGACAACGAATCTATGTGACTAGTGCAAGCGTGATAATCATGAGATGCGTGTCATGTGAGAACATAACTACATGCCACAGTAGAGGCGCCAATACAATTAGACGTGACGCGGTGCGCGTGCTCGCCGGCGTTCATTTCATCGCGTCACGCCGGCGTTGCCACGCCAGGCGCCGGTCCTGCCACATACTCGCAGGCGTCTTGTTTGTACACGCCACTGAAGGGCTTTTGTTACACCAGACAGTTGTACTCACCTGAAATGTTGTTACCAGTTTGCAATAAACTTCCCTGTTTCGCCACACTTTTGCCAAATACAACTTAGAACGACTCATTGCTCTCCCATAGTTGAGTACCAAGTATTCGAAATCGTTAACCACTTTCTTTATACACAAACTCGACTGAACGCACTGTTCTGTAGCCTATTCTAGCGCGTTCTTTGCGCAATTTTTTTGTCGACACGGCTTCATCAAGGCTGAGGCCCTTGGGACGCCTTCATGCTCGCCCATAGTAGAGTACCAAGGTACTCTAAATTGTTAACCACTTTATCTGAACCCACCTTTCGTTGCCATCTATTCGTTCCCTTCCTCTGGGATTTGGGACGGCTTTCTGCTCTACCATAGTACAGTACCAAGTACTCTATATCGTTACACACTTTTTTTTGAACCCATTTCTTCGTTATGGCTACCTTATCACTCTCCCAGTAGAGTATACACAGTACTTTATTACGAGAGATTGCTAATGATGACGTAAAGTTCTTGTGGAACACACCAAGCTTGACGTCTCTTCGCACGTACACGACGGTGACAATGTTTGTTGACATTTTGTTTGAAAAGGGCTGGCGTGAAACTGTCTCCTATCCTATTCTCTATATTCTGTGCCATGCGAATACAGTTTCTGCGCAGTTATGACCTCAATGCTCCATCGTGAAATATCACGCGGAGTCGACAACACCTGTCAACTCTCGATCAATCTTTAATGCTGACTTTCTGCTCCTAGATCCCTGTCTGTGTCGCTATACGCTCTGTAGTGCGCAGCTTCTGAGCACTCTGAGCTTTTTTTTTTAAGGTTCGCTATCCTCATTTACGGTAAACCACTTTACACCTTTAAAGGAGTTTCCTCCCTGTATATAACTAGCGTCTTTACACTTTAGGAAAGTGTTCGTGTGTTATTTTATGTTCTCCGGCCTCTAGACTTACTCTTACGGTTTTTCGGTCATAATGTTGTTTAGGCCATTGGTAATACCCCATGGTAAGGGTGTTTTCATGGATCGAAACACCCTTGCCACGGAGTGTTAATTTGGCCTAAACACTGTTATGACTAAAAAACCGTCAACACCTCGTGGTAAGGGGTGTTTTCATGGATTAAAACCCTTTTACCATGGGGTGTTGCCAATGGCCTGAACACTGCTCTTGTTATGACTAAAAACAAACTGTTAAAATAAGTCTAGCAGTCGGGGAAAATAAAATACAGGTGATACAAGCAAAGAAGGTGTACAGCCTGCTGAACCATACACACATCGAAGCATGTCTTTAGAAAAGATGTTTGACGATTTAGAGCACTACGAATACTCTACTATATAGAGAGCGCTAAACTCTCCAGTAAAACCAATTGTGTGTTTAGAAAAAAGTGGTTAACTATTTAGAGTACTCGGTACTCTACTATGGGAGAGCTGAAAGCTGTCTCCCCAAAAAGAAAAGGCAGCAAACCAATTGCCTGTTTAGAAAAAGTGTTTGACGATTTAGAGTACATCGTACTCTACTATGGGAGAGCATAATGCCGTCCCGACAATTGGGGGGGGGGGGGGGGTTGGAAAAAGTGGGAAATGATTTAGAGTACTCGGTACTCTACTAGGGGAGAGCAATACCACGAAACATATCGTAAAATCCTTCATGAACTGAGGGCTCACGTGACCACGTGGTATATAACGTAGCTTGTGGTCACCTTTAGTGCTGATGGGTGCATTCCTGTTTCATATAAATGAACAGGAAAGAGTGACAGAATTGGCGTGAAGCTATCGGACGCTCGTACATAACTATAAAAGGGATATATCTTTTGATCTAAACACGCCTAATATCCAACAAATTTCTAATCAGCGAATGGAAGTTATCTTCTCATACGCTGTCTTATGGGTCAAAAGTGTTTAGAGAACCCATAACTCCCTTTGCTCCAAAGTGGTGTTATTGTTACAACATCGCCCGTCAAAGGCTATTCTGGTTACGTAAAAGGGTGTATTGCCTGCTGGAGTTCACCTCAAGGCCGCACAGTGAAAGATTGCTCTGTGTTTAGAAAAAGCGGGTAACGATTTAGAGTGCTAGGCACTCTATTATGGCAGAGCATAACGCCGTACCGTGGGCCTCACACTTGAGTTAGGAAAGGCCCAGTAGTGATTTAGTCGTGAAGGTGGTGAAAAAAATGCGGCAGCATATCTTTCACCACCTTCACAACTAAACGCTTTGCACACGAAACATTTTGCTTCAAAGATACAGTACCGACCAGCCAAGTAGTTACTTTGGTGTTCTGAAATACTATGTCGTGTGCATGGTTGGGCGCAAATGTTCACCTTGCATGCGTGTGCAATCGGACGTTCAATCAACCTTCACTTTTCTGATTGATTGATATGTGGGGTTTAACGTCCCGAAACCACCATATGATTATGAGAGACGCCGTAGTGGAGGGCTCCGGAAATTTCGACCACCTGGGGTTCTTTAACGTGCACCCAAATCTAAACACACGGGCCTACAACATTTCCGCCTCCATCGGAAATGCAGCCGCCGCAGCCGGGATTCGAACCCGCGACTTGCGGGTCAGCAGCCGAGTACCTTAGCCACTAGACCACCACGGCGGGGCAACCTTCACTTTTCTAAGTGCTCAGACTATTGGCGCGACTCCCCCTTCCCTGAGAATGTTAAGAGTGTCGCTTTACAGCGCATACACGTCATGTTTATACTAAGTCACACAAGCTAGTTCAAGAAGAAGTGAACTTGTTACACCGATGCACGTTTTCCTGTTTCCATAGTGCTGACGCATTCTGTTAGCGAGAGAGCATCAGTAATGCACGTACCAGAATTTAAGCCGTCGTGTGGTGTTACTGTCCTGGTGAGTGGCGGGCTCGGCACGTGCGGTGGTGGTGGTTGTGCCCCTGCGGGCGCTGCTGGGTTGGCGCCTGCGGCGAGAGCGTTGGGTCCCGGAGGTGGTTCGACCTTCAGCCGTGAGAGGGCGGCTTCATCGTCGCAGGGCTGCGCAGCGCTCCGCTTGGCGCCAGCAGCAGCTGCGGCGGCGCCCTCGTCGCACTCGGCCCTGCGCTTCCTGCGCGCCAAACGAGGGTTAAGCCATAGTAAAGTGTTCTAGCCGTAGAGTTTCATAACAGTACACTAATGCGTATCCGGCGCTAATGTATATGGGAGCTGTAGCCTATAGAACTTCAGCAAGCATGGCAAAGATTGCAGACAAAACATGTTTTTAAATGCCTAAACTTCGTACTTACGGCACCGGGTGGCCCGTCGCCACTTTGTCACATGACGAAGGTTATTAAAAGTTCAGCAGACCCGTTACACCATCGACCTTGGCCCTTTTAAGCTCACCAATTCAAACGAGCTCACAAGGTTCACAACGAGACGTTTTCTTATATGAAACAAAAGCCAAAGCGCAACAATAAGCATCGCCACAAGGGCGTTCAAAGCCGCAATTACGATGACTTGGCAAACCAACGTAGTACACGTCGTTCTCACTGCACCTCAATTACCACATCGCTACAGCCTCTTTATGGTAGGAAATTCTATAGATCAAGCAACTCGTTATGCCCCACTACTTAGGTTCATTAGGAAGCCAGTACCACTCGGACACAGACTTTGACTGAAAAGTGCCTACACAAGCACTACGTGAATTTTTCCGCTTCTCTTTACGGCACACGCACCCCCTGAAGTCACGAAAAATGTGAGAATGTAATTGATTGTATGATTACCCTTACAGCGATCTCTGACGCGAAAATCGTTGAAGCCACTGCATTGGTGGTAACTGACCTTCCGTCACAAGCTACTGTGTGACGCGAGTTTTTCGTGCGGTCCGTGCTGAAAGCTTAGCCAAGAATTGGTCGTATTAGTTTAGCTCGATGGCTTTACGGCCTCTGGCGTCTGTAACAAAGAGCGAGCATTACTATTGCTCCATTTTATATATACGCTCATTTTTCTTTAGCTTGGGACCGTACGAAAAACAGCGCGCTGTTTATACCTCACAATACGTCTATCAGATAGTTTGATCACAGTTTTTCTGCGTCACTGCGTCAACTTTTCAGACGTTTCGCTCAGCCGTCATCTGTCATGGACAGCACTGCGTGTGTATCCTGCTTCGAAGCAGCTGCTCTGGCCACACTATCTTCTCTTTAACGTCGTCGCCTGAATTAGTATGGAGCAGAAGATGGTCGCTGTCCGCTTAGCTGCTATTTAGCCGTGAACGGTGAATTCATTCACGCGTTTGTAGCTGTGAAGAACGCGAGCTCAATCCGGAAGGGTCGAAACTCTTCATTGGGTGAACCAGTGCCTAGATGAAGAAGTAACACTTACCATGGGAGGAGGAGGAATAAATGAGGAAGGACCGGGAGGTTAGCCAGTTCTCAGCTTACCATGGGGATTTCGAACAGTACTCTAGAGGAGAATCTGACGCTAATGTCTAAGGCAGCTGCAACATACCGCGTTTCAACCGACTTGTAAATGATTGGCAGCACATGAATCACATGATTGGCAGCACATGGATCACATAATTGGAGGCACATGGATTTGCCTGGGCTTCGGTCCTTCGGCTCAGTTTGGCCTATAGCTGCTCTGTCACAAGCCGAAGTTCAGTAGATTAACTTCACCAAGTAGACCCTTTTAGGCTCACTAACTCGCATCTGCTCGCGAGGTTTCATCGAAATCAAAATATAAAACGCAACAATAAACCAAAACGCAAGAGTGTTCGAAGCCGCAAACGTGAAGAATAGGCAAACATGTTTACCATTCATGATTGCCCCGCCGGGGTGGTCTACTGGGTAAGGTACTAGGCTGCTGCCCGGCAGGTCGCGGGATCGAATCTCGTCTGCGCAGGCTGCATTTCTGATGGAGGCGAAAATGCTGTAGTCCCGTGTGCTCAGATTTAAGTGCGCGTTAAAGAACTCCAGGTGGTCGAAATTTCCGGAGCCCTCCACTACGGCGTCTGTCATAATCATATGGTGGTTTTGGGACGTTAAGCCCCACGTATCAAACCATCCATCATTCTTGTGGTTGAATGATCGCAGCGCCATAATTTCCTCAGTAAACATTATAGAACACTCCCAAACGCCTGCAGCGCAATAAAGATCGTGAGCACAATCACCGGTCTGGGAAACGCGCCCGCTTTTACGCATGCGTCGCCGTACTTTACGGCGTTATCAGTGATGCTCGCATTAGTCTTAGATGAAGTTCAATCGCACACGCAGTGCGTACAATCTGATAGGACGATTCGGAAACACTCGAGGAAGACCCACTGCATTCAGTAGTGCCTATGAATGCAGAGCGCCGAGTGATAGCACGTATCAAGTTTTTAGAGGGCCCCGAAAACACATATAGTTCAAAGAATTAATTCATATATGGGGTTTAACGTCCTAAAACCACGATATGATTATAAGAGACGCCGTAGTGGAGGGCTCCAGAAATTTAGATCACCTGGGGTTCTTCAACGTGCACCCAAATTTGAGCACACGGACCTAGAACATTTCCGCCTCCATCGCCGAAATGCAGCCACTGCAGCCGGGATTTGATACCACGACCTGCGGGTCAGCAGCCGAGTACCTCAGCCACTAGACCACCGCGGCAGGGCCAGAGTTCAAAGGCCAGACAGCAGTTTCTATCTCGCCTTCACTACTCTTCCTTCAAGCACTATCTCATCTTTCTCGCTCATTTCTTCATAAAATGCACGAAACGTAATCGCTAAGTGTTGAGCCAGTCGGGATCTCGCGCTTTTCGACTAAGCCCGGTTATCTACGCTTGCGCACTCACAAACGCAAGAAACGAAGTGAAATCAGTTTTTCGCGCACAATAGTCACGCCAGACAAGGCAGAACGGGCATGTGACTGCATGGCAAAGAAGGGAGGGCGGGCGATAATTCACAACAGATATTTATTCGCATATCGACCAATAGAGAGCTCTTTTTCATAATGACGTCAAGTGGACAAACTGCTGGCGCCATGAATTGTGCAATGAAGAGGTGAAATGTCGGGAGAGAATAATGCGTTCGTTCTCGTATTTAATACGTTGCAATGTTTCGTCATTGCCGCACGTTTTGCTTGCGTGTGAAGGTGCGGCGAGGATGCAGTGCTGCAACATTTAGATGTGAAGCAGCTCTTTGACTAGCGTATGTAACGCTGTTCTTCCGTATCTCCGTGCCATCGCGCCACATCGCGTTCCCCCACCGCAGTTGTCGGAACGATCCCAAGTAGGTCAAGTCACAGCTGCGCGTTGACGTCACTTTCTTCCTCACCCGCAGCAGCTGCCGGCTCCTCCCAAGACACCTAGGTGGTGTTACTCCTCCGCCCGCTCGCAACACACTTGCGTCTCTCATAATCAAATGGTGGTTTTGGGACGTTAAACCCCACAAATCAATCAATCAAATCATCGCAACACACTTCTCTCTCGCTTTGCCCTCTCCACCGCCCGCAACAATCGACCACACGTCGAGTGGAAACTCTTTTTCGTCTCGTTTATCTGCGATGAAACTTACACGATTTCCAACCCGCCTCCATTGTCGTTGCGTTTCAAAGAAACGTTTACTCGAGTAAAGGCTACACTGAGTATTGCTTCTAACCGTTCTTCCAGCACCCGTGTCGACGCCCGTTTCAGCCTGGTGAACGGTGTTAGCACCGCTGCTGCTTTGCATGCTGCTTCATGGTTCCCTTCGGGGAGATGGTTCGTAATATTTATTTGGTCCTGCCACAGAGCGTCGTGTGCTGGCGAGCCGTGACGGCCTATTCAGCCTGCCTGCGGCAACGGTGGAAGACATACTTTTACTGGGCGCTCGAAGACGCAAGTCCTCCCGTGCCTCCCCCGAGTTCTGTGCGTCTGCGGACCTCGCCGCCTTATAGAAGAACGCTTTGGCTTTGTTCTACTGACTGTACTGACAAGACGTTTTCTCGCAATGCATTTCACCTTTTCTTTTTCTCCTCTCTTTTTTCTATTTTCTTTCTTTCCCCTCCCCCCTTTCCAAAGGCACTGGGCGGTGCCCCCGCAACGGAGACGGAAAATAGCGGCCGTCTTATCTCTTCCTCTTTCATTGACCTCTCTCTCTCTCTTGTTTAGAGACCCTTTAACAGGGAAAGCCACGCGCAATAAAAAGAAAATCATGAACGCATGTCAGTATCGGAATAGTCAAGTATTATTCGTATGAAGTTATGCAGTATACTGTTCAAGGTTGCTCACCTGCTTGTCTCTTGAGCCGCTGTTTCCGAAAGGTTTGCGGAATGAAGATAAAAGAAAAGGCAAAAAAGAAAAGAAAACGTGATTAGATGAGGCGCTCCTTGCGTATGGTATCTATGGAACTAGCACAAGCATGTTCACACAGAAATGAGTGTAGGACGCTGCAAACCGCGTATGCGATTTCCGAGTCCTGCCCTAAAGGGCAATTGGGAAGTGGTAATTTCTGAGAAAGCTTTGCGTAGTATTCGTACAGCCCGAAAAACAAACTTAATCGAATGGCACCCCCATCTTAGCGTAGGCTTTCTTTAGTGAGCACCCGTTTCTCTCATCAATAAATAACTGCTTTTACTTCCCAGCTTATTTATAAAGTCAAGCATTAGAGGCTATTCTGCATTGTTCATTGAAAGCATAAAGAGAGTATTTAAAGAAATAAGCGATTCATTTACATGCTCGTGATCGATTTGCAATTAAGTACGCATATTGCGATTCACACTAACTGATCAGCCTGCAGAGCCAGAGATGCACTGCTTCACGCGTTGGCGCTAGTTCCTTGTGTCTTGTTGCTGCTATTAAAACGTTTTATTCCAATACTTGCGTTTAAAGGCGAGTCGTTGGTGAATGAAAATATGCACAAATGTTTTGAGAGAAATACGTGTCTACGCAATGACGCCGTAATGACGTCAAAGCCAGGGCCAAACCAGGTACATAAGCTTGGCAGCATACACTCTATCAGCCTTGTGTGTTTGAGTCGATAATATCGAACAGCGGCAATGTTCGACTTGCAAGTTTCGAATGCTCACACATCAATGCCGAGCCCCAAGCGGTTATCGGGTGTTAGCTAACACTTACCGGGTGGTCCTTTACTGCGCGAGACTTTCCGCAACTCCTCAGCCTGCAAGAGATGGAGAGAAAAATGTGAATGGCAGGCATGGCTACGTAAACAAAACTTTAGGTATAATGAAAAATCGCAACGCAGCTGTTCATTACGAAAAACACAACACTTATGTTCAGCTTCTAGCTATCGGAATAAAGTGCAAGAAATCTGTGTTGCTGAAAACCTGTCTATACAGTTGGAATAGCGCATGACCTTGATGTCAGTACTGCGAAGGTCACTTTAAGGCGCCCTTTTGCGGTGAAACCGTTGGCTGTAAACGTGACGTTATATGCGGGCTAGCTGCACCGTTAGACAGAAATGTATGTATGTATGTATGTATGTATGTATGTATGTATGTATGTATGTATGTATGTATGTATGTATGTATGTATGTATGTATGTATGTATGTATGTATGTATGTATGTATGTATGTATGTATGTATGTATGTATGTATGTACGTATGTACGTATGTATTGTATGTATGTATGTATGTATGTATGTATGTATGTATGTATGTATGTATGTATGTATGTATGTATGTATGTATGTATGTATGTATGTATGTATGTATGTATGTATGTATGTATGTATGTATGTATGTATGAAGGCGTCAGTGAGCGTGCTACACGAGCCTACGAAATAAGAGGACTGAATGTTTTGTATGTGAAAGTAAATAGGTTTTAAACACTGCAAGTTTCATATATTACTAGAGGATAGCAAGAAGGCACATTGCCCGCAAAAGATAAGTTCAGATGTGCTCGAGAAAGAGTGTCGCTCCGGCAATCGTCAAAAGGGGCGTAGCTGATTCCAAGCTCATTCTTAGGGCTTTAACTCACCTTTACTTTACTCATGTCCAATAAGAATGGACATGCTCCATTCGCTATGAGAACAACAAAAACGACAACAAGAACAACAGCAACTCAATTGCATTTTGCCTTGAAGCTCGATTTGTTTATGGAATACTAGTAAAGAAATTAAAACACTTACGAACACTTGCGTCATCCAAGAACGAGAACGCAATCTAAGGTTTGATCAAAAATTGATGACGTCACGAAATGCATATGCTGCACGTAACTGCTTGTTACAGAGGGCGCCAAAATCACCGGCCAGCTATTTCGAACACTGTATGTACTGGCCCGGGATACGACTGCAGTGTCTTCGCCACAGCGACACCGACACAGACTGAGCAGAGACAAGTGGACGAAGGGACAATCGATGTGTAGCCTTCTGCACTGTCAGCCCCGCCTTGACAAGTCTTTGAGCAGGCATTTTGAAACCGATATGATTAAGAAATCTGCTGGACTGTGTACCCGGTTTCCGCACTGACCACGTGTAATGCGTCAATCCATGTTTTTTTCCCCTTCGCGGAAGGCTTCTGAGTGACAAGTCGAAGACCTTTAAAAGCACGACACTGCGACGACACTGGGATCAAGACGTGTACAGCTTCGTTGCGGAGATGAGAGGACACCGCCCTTCAGTCGTTTGTGACGTTTGTGCGTCCGGCGAAGTGTCATGCAGAACCTTTGTTCGGTCGCCGACGACAGTGGCTTTACCGACGGCTAGGCTTGACGCTGAAGAGTGTGATATTAGGCCTAACGTTAATTTGAAACAAGTATTATGTGAGCGCAGAAAGCGAACGATTCTGAGAAATAAAACATTTTCAGGAATTGACTAGTCCTTCCATCGCTGCTATCTGTAAATAACCAATAAGCCAAGGGGCCGCAATTCACAAAGCGTTTCGTTTTTAAGTGTTGACCGTCTTTGCTAACGCATTGTAAGGTTGGCGACATTTGCCTTAGGGACAATAATTCTTGTGTAAGTGCTTCTTATGAACACGCCAAGGGGGGGGGGGGCTACACGAGGCCACCTAAATAACTGATTTATGATTTAACTGCATATGTTATCACATAGAACATGAGCTCCTTGATACTTGTACGCGGGCATGTGCATCAGGCACTGACGAATTGCGAAAGCTTATGTGATTTTGACTATTTAGTTAACTAATGCGTTCGTAGCAGCTGTAGTTTTTTACTGGCGCGTTCCTTCCCAGCCAAAATTTCAGAAAGCATTGCGTGCGATCATAGGTGATTATGGGTACGCTAGGCCTGGGAGCTTACATCATGTATGTATCTATCGGCAGCTGGGTCGAGGAGAATTCAGGTACCCTGAGCTTCATGGCATTATACGCCTTGATACGCAGGCTTACGCCTTGCTGTATAAAAGAAAGCCTACAAGGCGTGCGCATCAAGGTTCCTTACCCTGGTTTATTGTGTTTCGGTGGCAGGAAAGTGGATTTAGCATGCGCGAGATTCCGGCATACGCAAATATTGTCACGTAATCCCGATTCACCGGATGAGGGCAATGACATCTTGAGACGAATCATCAAATTACACGGTCTTGCAGACAAGACTTTGTGCATGATAAATGTTCGTGTAACAATAAAGCTTAAAAAGCAGCACATTACCGATTACGCTGGTGCAGCACATTACCGTATAAATACTGCTGAATCCAGCAGTAATTTGGAATGCACTTGGTTGCAGCAGTAATGATTATGTGTTTTGCAAGTTTATCTCTACGCCACTAGATGGAACTACCAACTCTTGCGAAAGTACACTGCAGTGTAGCAGCCACGCTTCAACTCTTGTCTACAAGATTATATGAGCGAATTTTGCTGATAACGCGCATTACTGGAAGACGTAGACAAAGGGCTGTTCACTCTTAAATTTGCGTATTATGAACACTCTTCTTAAGTGTGGAAGAGAAAAAAATTCGTGCTTCGTTGTTTTCACAAATAGATTTTAGATGGCACGTGGCAATGGAAGTTATGCTGAATGGAGTGACCAGTAGCTCCACGTTCTTAATGGGCTCAAGATTCCCGAAACAAGGCACACCACAAAACGGGAGAATTCTGCTTCGTAGACATGTACCGACCCCATTTACGCTAGCGCGATGAAAATTACAAGTTAGCCTTCGCAAAGGTGGTGTTTTGTGGTTCACATATTGACGACCCCTGACGCAGAGCATCGCACGTCGATGCGAAACGTGTTACCGTACTCAACAAGCGCACGCTTTGGGACAAGACCAAGACTGACAATCGCACTTCTCAATCCTAGCAAGATTGCTTATAAAAGGCACACGATTGCTCAGAACAAGACGACGCTTAAGGAAAGGGCGCATTAAGCGTAATCGTGTTATTTGGCACTTTACATTAGGAAAGTGTCGACTGTAGAAGCGACGTACGCCTTTACCGTCACGAGAAGAGCACATCTCTGTCAGCGTGACAACAGCGCAGACCCCGCGGGAGGCGATGTCAGGGAGGCGTCGAGTATAGAGCCCGAAAGAAAAACGAAGGAACAGACTGAACAGCTGCGCGATGCACCGCTATGCGGGCTCGTGTTTTATATGAACGACCTCTGCTATAGCGGCCGTCTTTCGCAGGCTCGCCGCTTGAAATGCTGTATAGAGACAACTTCCCTCGCCAGCGCACCTGTGCTGCACTTGTGCTTTATTCTGCGAGCCAAATAAAACTAAATAAAATGAAATGTGAACACACAACTGTCCGCCTCTCCCTCTCTTTCTCCGTGGAGCGGAGCGCACAGCTGTGGTGCGACAAACGACAAAGGTGACGTGAGACGCGCTTACATTATCTATCTATCTATCTATCTATCTATCTATCTATCTATCTATCTATCTATCTATCTATCTATCTGCATCATCATCATCATGATCCTCATCGTTATCATCCGCCAAACTACGTCCACTGCAGGACAAAGCCCTCTCCCATGTTCCTCCAGTCAACTCAGTTCTGTGTTTGCTGCCGACACTTTATACATACATACATACATACATACATACATACATACATACATACATACATACATACATACATACATACATACATACATACATACATACATTGATTGACATGTGGGGTTTAACGTCCCAAAACCACCATATGATTATGAAAGACGCCGTAGTGAAGGGCTCCGGAAATTTCGACCACCTGGGGTTCTTTAACGTGCACCCAAATCTGAGCACACGGGCCTACAACATTTCCGCCTCCATCGGAAATGCAGCCGCCGCAGCCGGGATTCGATCCCGCGACCTGCGGGTCAGCAGCCGAGTGCCTTAGCCACTAGACCACCGCGGCGGGGCGCCATACATACATCATACATACATACATACATACATACATACATACATACATACATACATACATACATACATACATACATACATACATACATACATACATACATACATACATACATACATACATACATACATACTACTAGTGTGCTTTCCGGCCGACATTTGAATTTGAAGCAGCGCGCGGCACTTTTCAACATAACAAAAACAGGTACACGATCGAACGTCATGTGTGTGACAGAGGGAGAGAAAAAAACAACAAAACGCAAAAATAAAGGAGCGCGTCACAGATGGGCTGTAGTAGGCCTACGCCGCAGGCTTTCCCGCACGACAGAGATTTCGGCGGCTGGCCTCGCACGCGCAATGGCCCTACGTCGACAGAATTGCGAGACTCCCGCAGCAGCAAGGCCTCGGTTTATAAATACGCAGCCGGGGAAGCCGCTAGAGCGTTGCATATTTGGCGTGGGTTACCTATAGGCTTCTTCCTCGGGTGCTGATGCCTGGCGTCGGCCCGCGGCTTGCTCCAATGTCCGTCGCGCAGTCACCTTTTTTACAGATGAGGAAAAAAAATCCTGTAGCAGACGACACGCTGGTTTGGGGATGTAAGTCACCTTGTTTACCGCTGTCCTCGCACGGAAACGGCTTGCTTGACTTTCAACGATGAACGGCGTGTTTGCACGGACGATAACGCCGATACTTGTGGTCTTAGCTTGGTTCCACTCTCACCGATGTGAGGGCGTACATAAAAGAAACATCGCGGCAAGATGATGCCGGGGGTCCGCCAAGCGAGCGTCGTCGTCGCGTACGAGCGCGCATGCGCTGCGCCTGCGCAGAAAACGAATCGATTGCGTCAGTAAACTTAGCCTA